CGGACAGTTCTGTAGCAAACAAGCCCTGGCGAGTTTAGGGGCTTGGACGAGAGCTATTGTAGCCTTTTGACTCTGTGGTTAATGCGAATACAGATACTTTATGAAATTGTACAGAGTCTAAGACAAAATGACTTTTATTTTTACAGCAAAGTTATTTAAGCGTTTTTTATTTGGTTTGTTTTTAGTTTCGTTTCAGTGGGGGTGGCGGACAGTGGTTGTAGCCTACCACTTGTGATGTCCTGTCCTTTAAAACAAATGTCGATATTACAGCAAACGTTTTAATACGAAGTTGAATTTCGTTGCCTTAAACCCAACGCAGACTGCTAGCTATGGCCACAAACATGGAAAGTCTCTGAATGTGTCGCTCGTGGATTGTTTCTCTTTTCTCTCCCCTTCCCAGGAACTTTCACAAAGATGTATTGTAAAATAACATTACTAGTCATGTAATGTTGGGAATAACAGGCTGCAAACGGAGAAGCCTACCCACTGCACGCTTATTTCTCACACAAAACACTTTAAGCAGTCGTGTCATATTTTCTTACATTTTAACGACTACCAGTTTACCAGTAGAACAGGCTACTACTACAAGACTATATATCTGAGCTCGTGTTGTTGTTAACGCAGAGCTACAGGAAGAGGACTGGCTTCAACAGACTACATTCTGTAATATCATACAGGGCAATCAAGTAGGCTAACGAAGGTGCAATATATGAACCCCCTCCCTGTCTGAGTTTGTTGTTTTCTGTATTATGAATTGTGCTGTTGAAAGTGGCGAGGACTGGTGCGTTTTGTTGACTGCACTGACTGACCTACAGCTCCAGTTCCTCTGAGTGTGTTTGTAGTTCGCCTATGCCAGTCACCTCATCAACACTGAAAGTTGGGGCCATTAATTAACACTACAACTCCCATAATGCACGCCGTGATTTAATCTGCCAGCCAGGTATTTTTGTTGACTAACCAAGTCTCCAGCATTAGCCATTTCCTGCCCCCTTACTCTCAGAAAAAGTTAAAGCCTTCACAGTAATTCATAATGCCAGCATTTGCTTGGTTTTGTGGGTTTGATTTTATTTTCTACAAACTTAGACCTTTTGTTCTAAAAAGGCAATCTCATAAATTAGCCATACGTCCTCACATTATATAAGCACTATGTGTACTGAATTAAAGACGTTTTCAGACGTATTCTCCATATTTTGTTGGTATTCTTGTATTTTTGTGCATATTAAATTGTATATCACCGGGTAAAACTGTTTTAGAAAGTATTTGTTTAAAATTTATAACCTTAATAAAAAATGAAACTTACTTTGCATTGCCTCTTTTTGTGTGTCTTTTGATAAACCAAGAGTGTCAATTTAAGCTAACATTTAGGCCTCATCTGGTGACAATGAGCTTGACTCAAAGCAATAAAGAAATCTGAAATAAATCTCATCTAACATATCCACAGCAACTGAGGTCATAGTCATTAGCCTATACATTTGCCAATTGTTCCATATAGGCTACTTCACTAATGTTAGTTAGATTTCTAATCAAGGCCAAACTCAATTTATATTTCACTCACAAAAATTATTTCACTCAATGGCTCTCCAAACTGGCAACAACTGTGCATATGATTTTAGATACTAAATAAATATTCTCAGCATTGTTTACCTGTTATATGTCACCTGAAATTTAATTTTAGATAGCCTAGCCTATTTGCCATTAGGCTAACTGTGGGATATTGAACTGTCACCTGTAGGCCAAGAATAAAACAACTAAAGAGAAGGGAAATTATAGGTATAGCCTACACACCATAGATAGAATAAAACAAAGCACGCAATATAGTAAACCTAACGTTACATTTAAAATTAGGGTTTCGCATGCAAAGACCATTACCCATAAAAGCAAACTTTTGCCTGACACACGCGTCACGTCTTATTGGCGGGCACTGTGTTCAAGGCGCGCGCACTTTTTAGCCAGAAACTCTCGCTAAACTTGCAGACTGTGTTATCTCTGCTGTATGCCACATGGTGGTGTTCTTCAAAATCAATGAATGAAGGTATTAGAGCGCCTATGTAGCGGCACCTCGGGCTGACCTCGAATCCGCTGCTCCCTGCAACCCCCTCCACCCCTCCCCTCCCCTCCCTGTCCTCTCCCCGGTCTCTCTCTCTCTCCCTCTCTCATCTCTTGCCGAAACCTCTCGACTCCTCTCAATCTGAGATACCACACCGCAGTACGCCCGACACATCAACGTCCAACATACATAGGCTATTGTCAGGTCGTTGTCTTAGCTGTTTTCGACGAATATAGCTGTTTCGCGCATGCTTAAATCTCGCTAAAACACAGGTAATTCGGTCGCGCGGTAGTCTATGTTTACTACATTACGACGAGGCGTTTAAAACCGTTCAAATACGTTCTAGCTTGGTTTGTAATGCGACGAACACGTCTTAGAAATAACTGAATGATTCAACAAGGTTAAATAGATGTCGGCTTAATGAGTGTGAAAGTTATATTTGAACCCGTTTGTTTGTTTTGTTCTGAATACGCTCATATTAGGGGAAATGTGTCAGTGCTAACGTTACCAAATCTATTTTTATAAAAAGACCGTTTGTATATTCGTTTAATTTTTGACAGCCGATGTAGGCTACTATAGTCTGTGGTGTGTGGCGAGCTCCTCCTCGTGGCAGACGCGGGAAACGCTACCATGGAGAGCGCGCGCACGAAACGAATGCAGATTTTCTCATTTTACGTGATGGAAGGATCCATGCGCTGTCAATTACACACGCACACTGAATCTTCCACATAGATAGCACGTGTTTCATTAGCCGGTAGACGTGATATATATACTAAATACGCCTCTATTTACACTCTCCTAAATGAGCAGCCTTGTGAAACGGGCTCAGTGGTAACATCAAATGTTAATGAAGACAAAAGGCACGACTTTAATCTTATCTTATCTCAACTGCGCCTGTTTAACTCAGCAGTGGAGCCTGCGTGAATACAACTGAATAGAAACGGGCGAGGCGGTCCGGCGGATGGGTGATGATGGGGGTAAATTCGACATGAGTTCATGTCAATAACTCAGCAAGCTGTGCGTGGCTTCACAGTGGGGAGACTGGACTATAGTGACTGGACAGATGCTGAATTTGCCAACCACTGAAAATGACTCAACTAAAAAAAATACAGAATGTGAATCGGCCTTTCCTGCGTGTAGGTCTTGTGGAGCACTTTGTAGATTAAAAAAACCCCCAAAGAATCTAATTTGCTTCAGAAAACACCTTATTTTATATAACAAAATTACATAAATACACCGGTGTTGAAATATGTTTTGTTTTTTTAATTCAACATCAACATTTATGTTAAAATGCACATATATATCTATATAATAACCATTTACCCCAAAATCATGGGGTCCAAAATCAAAAGATCTCTACATATCTTTTTCTTTATACATGAAATAATGAAACCTTTTATTTGAATTATATATCAGTTTTGAATGAATTGTAGCATTTCACATAACAGGACACTGCTGAAACTACTTAGAAGTTCAGTCAACTGTATATTTTGATGTAACAATGTTAGAAATTCACTTAAAACTTAATTGTGGTGGTTAGGAAGCAAATAAACATCAAGTGTTATGTCCCATTATTAACCCAGTAGCTCCATTGCATCTCAAAAATTAGAACACATTTTTTATTAAATACAAGTAACTCAAAAAGCCAATTTTATGACACTAAAGATTTTGACAATAGCAGACAATAACAATTGCTTTGTTGCAACCAGCTGCTGGCATCCAAGCTAAAGGGATGATTTTGTAACATATAACAGTCAGGGCTGTATTTCCTAGAAGCATTGTAATCCTAAGTAGATCTTGAGACCATTGGTGCCAATGGTTTGCATGATCTACTTAGGCCTTCAAAGCTTTTAGGAAAGGAAGTCCTGGTCTGTTAGTTCCATCTTAACCCATGATAAACAAAAAAGCTGGTTGGTTTAAAACAGAAAAGTTCCCCAGGACGAAATACTCTGTTTTAATGTGCCTCTCATTTCAAACATTTCATTCTCAATCCAGATGAATTTCAGTTAATCAATCTAAAGTGTGCTTACACAGAATAAAGTTTAGAAATCAAAAATGCTTCACTGATTATCATAATGCCAAACTGGTGGAGCCAGATTCATTGCTTTACTTTAGCAAACGGAAGACTATGGTATTAGCTACATGTGGCTGTTTACAAACTATACGGGTTAAGTCTTTCTGACATTTTACACACCAATTACTTGTCCTATTTTCAGTTAAATGAAAAATAAATAAATAAGCACAGCCAAAAATGTAAAACTTAAGTGGTTGACAACTTATAAATGTCTTACATGGGTAAAAAACGACACTTGCCAAAACCATTCACAGCAAACACATACCTCAGCGATCTTTGATAACTGAACACCAAGTGACTCAAGAAGTGCCTTTTGAGACACTGATGCTCCACAAACTCACAAACACCCGCACACACACAAACACACATTGTTCTTCAGATCTTTGCACACAGGAAATGGAATCCATTAAACCAAAATCAAGCCTTCAACCTTTCATTGTGACAAGCTCTGTTCTTTATATACACATAAATAAATATAAATGCCAATCCAGATGAAAATGTATATGTGCATAACTGCAGGTGTCTTAGTAGCAGTTCAACTTCCTGCTTGCAGGAAATAGATAAATAAAACCATAAAGACAAATTGCATCACTAGGAGGAATATCAGAAGTGGGATTTCATATGCACAACTAGAAAATTGTGAAGAGCAGGGCTGTTCAGATCTACTGTCCTGCAGAGTTCAGTTCAACTCAACTCATCTACTCCTAAACCAGATGATCAAGGTCTTCAGGTTCACATACAAATTTGAGGATAGGATGTATTAGAGCAGGTTTGGGACTGAACTCTCCAGGAAAAGTAGATCTGCAGGATTAAGACCAAGCACCTCTGCAGAAGAGAATGCACACTAAGGTCTGTTAACATGGAACTGAAGCGCGTTCGTTCGTCCATAGACAGAGTTTTGGTTGTACTCTCTGACAAGGTGCGAATTCTTGTTGTCTCTCATGGTTTAACTGGCTGGATGGAGAGCAGGCTGCCAAACTTGAAATGCTGGATGACAGGGAATTTTTCTAGACACTGTGAGAGGGCGACAGAGAAAGAGTTAACTAGTATCAATCAACTCTACAAGCAAGAGAACAGATTTACTAGCTTTCAAAATGTCTAATGCCATGGCGTCCGAACAGAATAAAACTATAAATATACAAAGGTATATTTCCACACACAGTACTGTTCAAAAGTTTGGGGTCAGTAAGATGTTTTATCTTTTTGAAAGAAGTCCTTTATGCTCACCAAGGCTGCATTTATTTAATCAAAAATACAGAATTAACAGTAATACTGTAAAATATTATTACAAATTAAAACAACTGTTTTGTATCTTCTATCACATGATCCGTCAGAAATCTTTCTAATATGCTGATTTTGATAGAAATCTTTTTTAACAAGTCTTTAGGGCTTTAATAGTCGACTAAAGGTTAGTTGACAAGAAGAGGCTTGGTCGTCTAAATTTTAATCAGTCGGTTAGTCACAGAAAAGAACTCCACAGGAATTGGCAAAGTCACGCAGTGAAAGAGAGTTAACGGCTGGTCCATGAGATAATATTTCAGGCAGAAAATCCAAAGTACTGTGGGAACGTTTCGAGAGGGTAAAGAATGACCAAAAAAAAAAGATGACGTGCGACCCCAAACATGACTTATCATATAAAACATGCAAGTAGTAGCCTATAGCACTTCACATGGCTGCTCGCTCTATCGTTAACGTTAACCTAGACAAATGTGCGCTAAAAGGCGCATGTCCAAGTGTTCGTGTGGAGTGAGGAATCTAAATGTTGCGCTTAATGCACGACATGTTTAACTGAACTTCCATGTCCACGCCATCGGAGCGCATCTTCTCAAAAGCCGGTGTTAAGACAACGTGGACAAACTTGTGTCCCTTTCTCATAATATGAGAAGACTGAGATTGGAGTAACGGTCAGTTACAGCCTAATTGTCCATATATTGTTGTAGTATTTCAGTTTGCTGCTATTTATTTGTTTGTTTTTATATAGGCTTAATGTATTTTTGACCTCTGAAAAACTGAGTTTTCATTCGATGTTAAGGCTACTTGTCTGTCTGATTATGTTCGCACTGATATTTCTCTATTAAGTGTTTCAGTTTGTTGTATATTTATATTCTACATTTTCGTTAAATTTCTTTTTTTAAATATAACTGTTATTTATATTATAGGGTATTTATTTTGTTTGCGTTCTGATCTCAGAAAAGTTCATGCGATTTTTGTCCCTGTGGCAAGGTTTACGCGCACACGTGAGCACTTAATTTATATTTTAAATACTCATTATGGTTTCCCAGGTTTAGTATTTCTCCCCTGACTAATCGACTGATGGCTTAAATGAACGACTAACAGTCAACTAGGAAAATCATTAGTTGGGGGCAGCCCTACAAGTCTTTACTGTCACTTTTGATCAGTTTAATGCACGCTTACAGAATAAAAGTCTAGGATTGACTATGAAGTGTATAGGATCTTCAAACTACATGTAAGGCCAAAGGAGACGAGAAAGGAAAAGCCTCTCATGTATTTCAATGTAGAAAAAAGTGAAATTGAGACAAAAGCAAATTGAAATGTCGCTCAGATACAGAATTAAAACCTTTCATACATAAAACTTCCATATGAATAGCTTTCATACTCTCTTAGCATTGAACTTGAAAGACATCAGTAACAGTCATGAGTCCCTGGCTGACGGAGTCAAAGAGAGAACGAGAGTGTGATATATACGGGGGTGGGGAAGACAGAGAGAGAGAGAGAGGGAAGGAGGAGGGGAATTTGCAGACAGACTGGCCCCTCAGCTTCGCTCTGTGCTGAGAGGAGAGGAGGAGGAGGGAGCACCGGAGTCTTCTCAACAACACAGGATGTGGGCTTTGGAGGAGGGGGTGGGGCACGCGGTTCTTCCCCTTGAACAAATGCTTGCCCTATTAACTCTTTCAGCTCCGGTCTTAAAACTTCACAGAACAACCGAGAATCTATGGCTTGGCATTTATAAATGTCCCATGCAGACTGTATAAGTGGGTATCTTGCAATTTTGCTTTCTAAATAGAATGTTTTTTTCATATTTTTTTCTGTTATGATAAAAAAAAGGATTTAGTTCACTAACTACCAAATGTACCATTTACATAATCTAGATAAGGAATCAGTATCACACCAAGTTAAATATATTACAACATCAAAAACTCCTGACATGTATTAGTGTTTACAATCGCATTATACTTACTTCTGCTTTATACATTCGTATGAGACCTTGATTGACTTTGGACCAAGAAGGAACAGCGCTGATGTTCCAAAGCTGATTTGAGTGCTCGGCAAAAGGGCCTGTTTTCATCTAAAGACAGAAAATATACATAGTGATTAAGGAGATGATGGTAAAATTACGATATAATGTACAATCAGCAACATTAAAGCTCGATTTTGAAACATCTCAGAGATGTTTAAATGTGATTAATTTGAGGTGTATGGAAACCTGACAAGACTGCTTAAAATAAGATACTTGAATTTCACTTTTAACTGTGGTAAGTGTACATGTGTCTGTTGATCACAGACCGGAAAAAAGGGGTAAAAATAAATAAGGATAGTAAAAATAAATTGTAGAAATATAAGTGTTACTAGAAAGATGATCAAATGGAATTTAGCACTAATATTAGCAAAACACTACTAAACTAAAAAAAAAAGGAACACTGAAAAGTTTGAAACATATATTAATGTTTAAAAAAAAAACAAAAAAAACATGCACTACTGTTCAAACGTTTGGGGTCAGCAAGATTTTTTTAAATGTTTTGGAAAGAAGTCTTTTATGCTCACCAAGGCTGCATTTAATAAAATGGTTATGGTAAACCGGTTACATTGTGAAATATTATTACACTTGTAAATAACTGTTTTCTACTTCAATATATTGAAATGTAATTTATTTATGTGATTGCAAAGTTGGTCACGTGATTAGTTGTCACATGATCCTTCTGATGAATAGAAAGTTCAAAAGAACTTTCAAAAGAAATCTTTTGTAATATTATAAATGTCTTTACTGTCACTTTTGATCAATGTAATGCATCCTTGCCAAATAAAAGTATTTATTTATTTATTTAGAAAAATCTTACTGACCCCAAACTTTTGAACAGTAGTTTATGTGTGTAAATTAAGCGAAATAATAATAGAATTATGAGAATATTATCAAAAGATAATGAAGTCTTCTGTACTGGTGGTAATTAACGTATCATCATCAAGTCACTGTACTATGAGGCCTTTTCATGAGAGTTTATGAGAGAGAGGGGCTGGTGTGCTGCCCTTGGGAAAGAGCACTTTATGAATGGCAGTGCTGTGTGGCTTTACTCTACACACACACTGCTCTCGTCAAGCCGGACTTTCCAGAGACCTACTAGCCCCTAACAGAGGAATAGAGAGAAGGAAGGAGAGAGAGGGAGAGGAAAAGAAAGAGAAAGGAGGGGGTGGGCCCTAGGGGCCTTAGGAGTGATTCACAACAACGTGCAGGGAAGGAAGGAAATGACTCATGTGAGTGGAGTCCAAATACAACCTGAGAGAGAGAGAGAGAGAGAGAGAGAGAGAGAGAGAGAGAGAGAGAGAGAGAGAGAGAGAGAGAGAGAGAGAGAGAGAGAGAGAGAGAGAGAGAGAGAGAGAGAGAGAGAGAGAGAGAGTTTTAAACTATATATTGTATGTATTTACATGAATGGAACATAAGAGTTTCTGTTTGTATGTGAACAAAATTTCATCCTCCCAACAAAATGAAAATGAAATGAAAAATGGCCATCTCACGCTCAAAACATGACCAGATGCTAGATGACACACACCTCATTTATGAATTTAATGCACTCCAAAAACATGTAGTCTTGGTGGTACTCGTTTACGGCCTTCTCCTCCAAAAAGTGTCGGGGCTCCAGGGTTGGGTGGTCTGCACACAATAGATGAACAGACACACCGAACAGTAACTTAGTGTGACCACTAGGTGTCTCCATGGTTGTCATTGCATGCAACAATTATTTAGGAATTAACCAATTAAAAAATAAGTCAAATATAACTGTAAAGGTCAAACAAATAGCTGAGCTTGGTCTTGTTAAAGACTAAACAAGGCAGCATCTCCCGCCAGGAAACAATTAATGCTAAACATTACAGAATAAGAGCCAAACCTGGCAACGAAGACGGAGCCATTACCTATGAGCTGTGCGCTCCCCCATATGAAGGGGAGAAACTGAAAGTCGTCAAGGCCCCACACACCCTGACTCCCAGCCGGCTCCATCCTATACGTCTTCTGCAGTTTGCGCATCACTAGCAGATACCTACACCGAAAAGATTAAAATGCTTGATGCAAATGAGTTCTTCACACCATCAACCACAAAACACAACTGTAAAATACACTGCCAAAATTATTTTGTTGGCATTTAGTGTGCAGTAAAGTGCAAACTTGTTTAGTGAAGTTGCTGGTGGTTGCAGATCTAGCCTGAGAACAATGAAAGGTTATATTCAAAATCAGAAGTGAAGCAATAAGAAGAACCACTAACTTGTCAAAAACTTTAAATATGATGGCCAGCTGGTCCTCCATGCGCAGAGCTCCCACCTTGCAAAGACAGCAGAGGAACGCAGCAAATGCAGCCTCATGACCTGCACACAGAAACAGGTTATGACTTATGCTAAATAATGCAATCAGCATTTCCAGCTGCTCATTTTAAAGCACCCTAGCAAAAGACATTGTATTTTGCCTAATTTGTGAGCTTACAGTCTGAATTGAATGTGATGAGATAAAATTGTATTGTATCACAGAATAATGGCAAGACAATTCTATTTCTATTGCCGCCTACACTTAAATTAACAAATGAATGACTGTTATGAGCCGGATCTTTTAATTATTCACACAAAAAGACTTACAAAAGTGAATCATGCCAGACTTCCAATGAAACAAGAACGGTTTTGTGTATTTAAGGTTTGTAATAGTATGTAATTGTAACAGTATCTGAATCATGTTAAGCCATCAACATCATCCAACCGTTTTGTGTTTAAACAGCACCCTCTAGTGGGGATTGGGAAAAACTACATTAAATCAATACTTTGACACTTTCATGGGTACGTACATAATGGACGCTTTTTACATTTCTGAGGTAACTATAACAAATATAATATTTTGCGTTTCCATTTGCTCTAATAGCAAAACCCATGGAAAAATATATCGAGACGATGAGATAAAAATGAGAGAGAAAGATGTCAAATTTCATCACTTCATCAACCATTGTATTAGAAACACTCACACAGTAGCATTAACTAGTTTAGGTTAACTAAGTATAGGCCTGGTTTCACAGACATGGCTTAGATTAAGCCAGGATTAGGCCTTAGTTCAATTAGGACATTTAAGTAGCTTTTATAAACGTGCCTTAGAAAAAAACATTACTGGTGTGCATCTTGAGACAAGACAATGGCACTGATTTATTTTAAGATATGTCAGTGCAAGTTGCTTTCAGTTAAAACAGCTCCAACATGCATTCTAGTCTGGGAATGACTTAAGCCTCATCTGTGAAACCAAGCAATAGTGTTATAAATGTACATTCAATTTTAAAAAAATTAAAATAAAAAAACGTATACATGGGTGCTTTTCAAATGGAAGGCTGCATTTCTCGGCTGCCACGTCATCAAGCGCCGATGAAGGCCAGCTCAATTTGAAGGATCCTTGGAAGGAAGCTCAATTTGAAGGATGCATCAAGTGTTTTCTTTGTGTCCTTCAATCACCCACAATCCTTTGCACACATTCCAATTCAAGAAAAAGAACTGACAGAAAATGAGCCTGTCTGAGTTCAATATGAAATTTAAGACAAATAGTGTTTTCGGTGATGAAGGCATACAAGTTATCTTTTGTTTTGGTGTAAATTAATCACTTAACATTAAACTGACAACAATGCAAACCACTGGGAGACCACGGACGGTTGCCAATCACTGTATTGTATTAATAGAAAGCCAGTTAATATAAAGATTATTTTATAATTACCAATTAAAAAGCACCCTATATTTAAGATGTTAATAACTGTGTAAACACGTCAATACAGTCTGTAAAAATGTCCATTAAAGCTGCAGTAGGGAGTTTTGAGAAAATGTTGACTTAGCCTGAAAATTTGAACAAGCGCAACTTACAGGCCCCACCCCCTTGCTCTCTGCTGCGCTACAGCCCTCCCTCCACAGCTCGTCCTCCACAGCGGAGCCTGTCGTGAACGCGCAGGCTAGTAAACAGGCCCACCGATAACAGCGGATAAAAAGTTATGTGGCACATTCACTAATAGGGACTAAATGTCAATAATATGCTTTACATTGACTATGGCCTGCCCATACTTTGACTACAAACTTGGTCCTCAAATCATTATGTATTTTCCAATAGCCTATGTAACTTTATAACGTTGCACTCTTTCTATAAGTTATAAATAGCTAGTAAGATAACGTTAATATAACGGTAACTAACGTTACAGTATGTAAGTAATTATTCTAGCGATATATAATGCTAGATAAGGTGTGCTAGTACATTATTTCAGCAACATGACAAGCCAGTGAATTAGCAGGTTTCAATTGTTGCTTAGCAGAGTGCGTGACATTTTATCTACATGTTACGTGGCTAGAGTTTTGACACCGAGTCAATGGGCTCTGTGTAATTCTTTCTTTTTCGCTTGTTTATCGTCATCAGTCTTTTTCCTTTTACCTTTTTTGTTTTATGAGCAGGTGTCACTCGAGAATTGGCAGTTTAGGTTGTTTCTCCGTCATAAGCACAGCTGCAGCACGCCGGCAATCTCGAGTTTGAACGACGGCTCGCGCAACGCGCTGTGCAAGAGAGGGGTGTGATCAGCGCGTACACGAGCGTGATTGACACTGCTAAGACATTCCTCCTGGCTCTGATTGGTTGTTTCTGACCGGTAGCGTGTATTTCTGCAAATGGCAATAGGACCACTGGGAGGAGCCAGAAGAGCTTGATTTTTTTTCACAGATTATCCGTCTCATATTCTACTGTCAGGACATAATGACAGTTTTAACAAATATGTAAAAAACATTTTTTACAAAAGTTACCAACAGCAGCTTTAACCGGAGACTTTCCCCAGCTAAAAATAAGTAAGTATAATTCACACTTTCCTAAGGAGTAATACATTAAAGTGCGAAAAGCTCTGACATCATTTCTCTTCAAAGACAACTATGGAACAACATACATAAACATATAAGAAACGCAATAACAATAAACACAGACCTGTGCCATAGTCAATCCTGGTGGAGTTGCCAACAGACTCCTTTAGGTACACGGCTATCTCTGGAGCAGCATCATGACGGTCTGACGGCAGAATGGCCATGACCAGTGTCTCTGCGTCCTGCACACACAAAACACTTTTACATCATTTAACCTCAAAACAACTGCCCTGAAATACAAAACAGCACAGAACAAATTATACAATGCCATGAAAAAGCTTTTCCCTTAACCAATACAAATACTGCCCTGAAAAGTCCGATATGAATTTACAGAAATAATCAAATGGGCATTAATACTTTCTGAAGGCACTGTGATCAAGTTAAAACAGTTTGAAGGTAAACATTTCTGATTTCATACGAGTGCTTACCTGCTCCAGTTTGGCATACCATGAGCGGTAAGCTTTATTGCCGAAGCGAGAGGGCTGGTCTACAGGTGGCGTCTCATCAATCCAGCGATCTAATGTTCCCAACATCGCAAGCAACTTCTCCACTGTCTAATATCAAAGAAAAGTATGCAAGCACATTTCTATGAGCATATATACCAGTTACTTCATCTGTTACACACACAGCAGTATAGAGAGAAGCAGGATAGTGACCCACCTCAGACACTTGGTATTCACATGTAAATTTCTTTCCCTTCACACCCTCATTCAAGGTCAGAATGAATCCCATGTAGTCTGCGTACGCCTACTTACACAAAACAGAAACTTGCTCAAATAAATGTAAATATTTGTTTAGATGTGCTTTCATGTTTTGAAAAGCACCATGAGTATTAAAAACACTATATAATCAAAGGTTAGTAACTCGAACTTGAAGTCATTCATTTGGTTGTGTGATCTCAACAAGACTGCCACTATGAGTCAGTGACCTACTGACTTTAGAATAAAACTGCTCTTTCTAGGCCAGTGTTTTTCATTTCTGTATTTTAAACATTTCTAAGGAGGAAACATACCTTTAATGGGAGTAGTGTATGCAGAGGTTCTCATGATTATTAGAACTAAAATGTAATGGTGCTGCTGCAACTAACTGCACAAGAAAAAGTGTGTCAACAATAGAGCTTCCTGCTATTATCTTTAAACTCTAGGGATACGAGGGAAAGAGACAGAAAGTGAGTCTCAATGTAGCAATGTCTCGTAGTTGTACAACATACCTGTGATCTTTTCCATTTTCCCATATCAGGCACCATGCTGATCTCCTTCTTTGGCACTATGAAGTTGAAATTGACAGTACTGGGAGGCTTGTCATCCTCGTGGGAGGAGCCTGTGCAAGCGACAAAAAAAATGATGAACAACACAATTTTAGAGTCAAAGTATACTATATTATTTATACAACTAATACGCACTAAAAAATCTGATAAGAACTTAGTTAAATTTGGTTTCTGCAATTCTAAACTATTTTAAAATATATTTATTATATCTAAAATACATATATTTTTTTAATTATTATATATTTCAATATAAAGTAAGTTAACCATCATCATCAAACCATAAGGTTATAATCCCTGTATTTGTATGGGTAATCTCTGGAGAGAAAAAAAATATTAAAGCTTTCCTTGATAGCTAAGATTGACAAAATCACACGCATTGCTGCTAAACATTTACTCATTCCACAGGCTCTGATCCAGGTTTTGATTGTGTTTTTGTCGTCTAGACTAGAGCCCTTTCTGCATCAATGTTAATGGTAGACTCACACATACAGCTAAAGCACTTAAGTCACTCTGGATGAGAGCCTCTAATGTAATGCATTGACTGTTAATTACACATTGGCAGTTAAAAATGTGTTCTTCTTGTGGATTGATAAGTGCACTTCATGACTTTGTGTGCCAATGAACAGCACACAAAGTCTGTGTGCATTTAAATGTGTGTAAATGCTGGGGTAAAAATAAACTACAGATATCTAAATAAATGTCTAATAACAATCTCTAAACAAACACAAGGTTGTGTGGCTTGACCCTTTTTGGCATACTGACTTATTTCATTTTAATTTTCAAGTATTTAATTTACTATTAATTTCCATACATTTATGGGAAGAAAAAGGGAACAGCAGCCACTTACAACAAACCTCCCTTATAATAAATCCCTTACACAATTAGAAACTTAAGTTTTTTTACCCTAAAGGATAATATACAGGGTGGTCTATGGGTGTAATGTTACCTAAATCTGAAAGACCTCAGCTGGTTCTGCTCAGGTAACATATGAGCCTATATCACTGTCCTAAAGAGGAAAATGCTCATAATTCTCTAACCAGATATAATAAATCCAATTTATATATAAATGTATTCCCTCAATTTCCCAGAATATAACGTACTGTCAGAGATAAACTACCTGATTTTTTTTCATCACATTATACACAAAAATATCTGAAAATAACAACATGCTGCACTTAAAAAAAGAAGAAGAAAAAACTACTAATGCGGATGCTCCTCTCTTTTTCTTTTTTTACAGATGGGTCGTTAACCAACTTTGAAACTAAAGGTGTTCAACCTCTGGGCCCATTATTTTCACTAAATATATCTCAAACAGCATTCTAAGTAAATTAATATTGCAAATAAATAATAACCTCGGGTCATATGATCGCATATAATGCGTAATAATAACATATATATGTGCACGTCGCAGATCTGTCAGACTATCATGGACTTATAACATGAGGCGCGGCGAGACACAACTAAGCGTTTTTGTACACACGCGCACGTCCCTTTCACCACTTCAGGTACAGAACAACAACATATATAATAGTCTTGCTTTTATTGGTATCTTCGCTTCTAAATTATCCGTGATTAAATTAATATTTGTTTGATCTGAATTACCTGACGACTGCTCAGTCTCCGCCATGTTTACTGTTGAACATGAAAACACGACCCTTCAACTCTCACCCGCAGTTTCGCGTAAATTTTTTTTAAACTTAATCAGTGAATGTAAATTGTTGTAAGAAAGATGATTACTAATGTATTTTTGTAACATTCATAATATGTAAATTTACGATTTAAAATGTAGGAATCAACTTACGTATTTTAATAATGCAATTATATTGTTTGTTATTTGTGATGTATGGTTATTTATTATTTACATATAGGTACAATTCAATATTTGTACATTATAGTAAAAAAATACAATAAAAATAGCACCAGTACAACATAATTGAATGTTGTCGCATACATTTTTAGTAGAGTTGTGCCTTAAAACATTATGTAGGCTAGTTCAATAAAATACTGTTAGTAATAAAAAAATAGAAATCTGAACTTTGGAGTGTGCAAATTTGGTTTATGAATGTGAAATTTAGTTCTAAAAGATTTTAACAATAAATTAAAGACTTATTTTCATTAATAAAATGTCTCGGATTATCAATGAAAAGTAGAAAGATGATGACGCAGGCGGGGCTGGGCTTGCAGTGTGTTTTCGTCCCTCGCGCGCCGTCTAGCGGTGGAGTGGAACAGCGCAGCAGCGATGATGGCGCTCAGGGGTTTTCTGACTGCAGCTCTCGTTCAGTGGACTCTGACCGCTTCTGTCACTCCTCTCAGGCCTTGATTTGGGGGCGTTTTAGTGAACTTCAGTTATGTTAGGCATTCTTGCCAGAACGATGGTGAGTAAGCAATTCATATGTCCCCGTTTTTAAACATAGTCTGATCTTTTATGTGACATAAACAAGGGTAGCTGACAGTCTGAGCGTCGTGTAATGAGGTGTGCTTTACTGACATGCAGGTTGTTTATGGTTAGATAGCGGTAAGTGCTAAGGCAGTAGGAAGTACATCATCGTTCATGCCAGTGATAAGAAAACAATCTTCACTGACAGTTTCTTTAATACTTAATGCAGGTACCTAACACGTGTGAATGTGTAACGTTACATGGTCTCTAATAAAGCTATTTAGTTTGTAAGTGACATGCGCAACAGTCTTATTGCATGTTACATTGCTGGCAGTCATGTGCAATGTTGACTCATGTGTATATTTTCTTATTACAGTAAACATGTCTAGTTATTTATAAATGTAGGACTAGATTAGCTTGTTAATGTGCATTTGTGTTATTTAATAGGACAATTTTAGGTACTATTATGATAATTTCTTCAAAAAATATTGTCTGAGACGAATGCCAAAGTAAGTATCATATATTATTATAATATATTACATATTTTATTTTACACATTTTTAAAAATTTATTTAGCTATTAACATGTCAGTCATCAAGAACTAAAAAGATCTGTATTTTCTATGTATCCTTATGTTATATGATATAATGCAGTCGCTGTTGTATCATCTGGAATATTTTTAGGTCAAGGCCGGCATGGTGAAACCCTGCGGCCTGGTAAAACCAGTGTCAGTGACACGGATCACCGGTCGCTACTTGGCCCATCAGGAGGGTCTGCCTAAGCTTCCAGTGCCACCCCTGAAACAAACATGCGATCGCTATCTGGCTGCCCTGGATCCCATCGTGGACCCGGAGGAGCTGAATCACACTCGGCAGCTGCTGGAGGAGTTCCAGAAGCCGGGCAGTGTAGGAGAGAGACTTCAGAAAGGCCTGGAACAACGAGTAAAGAAAATGGATAACTGGGTAAAAACTTGTTTTTTCAGGAGCCCTGTGTGATGGGGCAGGCTAGCTCTTTTTAAGGGCTTCCGTCTTATTATCTCTCATTGTCTCTCTATCATTTCCACTTCTAGCTCTCTGACTGGTGGTTACAAACAGCCTACCTAGACTACCGGATGCCTGTTGTTGTCCATTCGAGTCCTGGGGTCGTCCTTCCCCGAATGGTGTTCAGTGACCGTCAAGGCCAAATGAGGTCAGACATGGATTCAGATATCACAGGAAGTGTCGACTAATTTTAACATGGGACCTTCAGTTGTTCAAAAACTGTGTCCTTTAAAACTAAATGTGTGCTGTTATCTGCCTACACACAGTTTTTTAAATAATAATAATAATAAAAATACAAGTCATACAGTGATTTATTTATTTATTTATTTATATATTTTACTTATAAAACAGTATCAAGTATAAACCACTTTTATATTTTAACATTTAAATATATATTTATAGATATTTCTGAAACTGATTAAATGTATACCCTGACAAAAAGAGGCAGTTGTTTCCAGTTACCTCTGTGGTGACCTTTGTACAGACTGACCCTCTCTTGCCAAGTTGAGCTTTGCAAATTCAGAACTGTTGCTCTCAGTAAAGTGCTGGCCTGAAGCCAGTCTCCTCACATCAACTATAATACAAGCTTTCACATATGACAGCTAAAACTGGTCACAGATCAGCAGCAAAGTGTGTTCAGTCCATATCATAAGTCATATAATTCAAAGGCACATGGCACAGCATGTGCTACAGTATTAGTAGTAGAATAATTTATTGGCAGTATGTTGATGTGAAACTTGTTTAAAATGACTGTTAAAAAAAGTATTTTTTGTTCTTCACAGATATGCTGCTAAATTGATCGCTGGGGTTTTAGATTTCAAGAGCATGATTGACAAGTAAGTCATACATTCCTTCCTCTGTATATGCTTTAGATAACCATGACTATTACTATTGATTAAATTCATGAGTGTATAAAGTTCAGAGTCAGACATCATGTCTTTGCTCTTTGATTAGTGAAACATTGCCAGTGGAGTATCTGGGTGGAAAGCCACTCTGTATGAACCAGTACTATCAGGTGCTCTCGTCCTGCCGGATCCCTGGAACAAAGAGGGACAACGTGGTCAACTACGCCTTGGACAAGAGACCCCCCACACATATCACTGTAGTGCACAACTTTCAGGTCAGTCCCCGTTACAAAGTTCCAGGCAGGGTCCAAATGTAATTTCCAGTAGTAACTGAATCAAAATAATTTACAGCCTATAACGATTTCTTACTGGCTATGAAAAATTGCCATGCAATAAAAAAAATAAAAAAAATTCTTTATATTTTCTGCATCCAGGACTGCAGTGAATTTCGTGAGATCTGTTTGTACGTTTTGACTTGCTACTTGATGGTGTACAGCAATACGTCTTTTTAACTCATTCTTTTAACTCGTAGTTCTTTGTGCTGGATGTATACAACAGTGACGGCACACCACTGACCGTAGACCAGATCTACATTCAGCTGGAGAAGATCTGGAACTCCTCCTTACAGTCCAACAAAGAGCCTATTGGCATCCTCACCTCCAACCACCGCAACAGCTGGGGCAAAGCCTACAACAACCTCATTAAGGGTGGGCACTGCTAACACGTTTTAGTTTTAGTTGGGCATATTAGTGTGCTGGTAAATAAAACTTTGATAAACTATTTAAAATACTGTACACTACCGTTCTAAAAGTCTGGGATCATTATGATTTTAATTAATACTTTTATTCAGCAAGGATGCATTAAATTGATGCATACAAATGATAGTTAATGTTACAGAAGATTTTTATTTCAAATAAATGCTATTCTTCAGACCTTGTTAAATCATAACTTTACTCTAAATACCATGTTTTTTCCATGCTGATCCCTTTTCCATTTTTTAATGTCACTTTCAGATAAAACTAATAAAGAGTCAGTGAGAGCCATTCAGAAGAGTATCTTCACAGTCTGTCTGGATGCTGCCCTGCCGCGAGCGTCTGATGACATGTACCGCACCCGAGCTGGGGTTCAGATGCTGCACGGAGGGGGCAGCAGGTGGAACAGTGGAAATCGCTGGTTCGACAAAACATTGCAGGTTAGACCCATGAGGAAGTGTGTGGGCCCTTACTGAGAACTTAAAAGGCACCTATATTATGCTTTTTTTAATTGTACCTTTCCTGTAGTGTGCAATATAGCTGTTTGGGCATGTAAACAATCTGCAAAGTTGCAAGACACAAAGTCCATGCCAAAGGGAGTTAATCACTCCCAACATAAACTTATGTCTGAAACGCCTCTTTTATAGTCCTGCCATTATGCCTGTGACATAGCTACGTCACCATGTTACACATCTGCATAAAGCCCACCTATTGGCTACTCTGGCTTGTTCTCAAACAAAGGTAGTTATAAAGGCCATATTTTTCAGACACGCGCTCAAAGCGGTGAGCCAGTCACAACAGACTGGAGCTGACTGACCAATCCGAGCAGATTGGGCTTTTCAAAGCCGAAACTAAAACGGAGCGTTTAGACAGAGGTGCTGCACCAATGAAAATTATAAGAAAAATAATGAATTGTTTGAACATTAAATCATGTAAATCTGTTCTAGTAGACCACCTAGACAAAATTATAAACCTCTAAATGAGCATGTAATTTTGGCAAATCAAATGATAGAAATGTATCAAGCACAAGATCCTGATACTGAATACTGTTGTTGTGTTTCTAGTTTATCATTGGAGAGGATGGGACATGTGGACTGATCTATGAACATGCCCCCGCTGAGGGTCCTCCTATCGTGTCACTGATCGACCATGTGGTGGAATATACGTAAGAATAACAGTGTTTAAATGTGGAAAAACTGTAACCATGGCTAACACGGCTAATATTTACCACTTTTTTGTTATATTTGTACAGGAAGAAGTCGGAGATGGTCCGTACCCCTATGGTCCCGCTGCGTATGCCTCAGAAGCTTCGTTTCAACATCACAACAGAGATCAAAAAAGACATTGAGGAGGCCAAACAAAACATGAACATGTGAGAAGCTGAGATATTACACTCACTCTTTGCATTGCCAACATTTAGTTTTTTGAACAAACAACATGGTAGTATGCTAAATATTGAATGCTTGAAAGTTTCTCTTCTCCTCCTCAACAGCATGGTTCATGACTTGGACATGAAAATCAACGTGTTCTCCCATTTTGGCAAAGATTTCCCAAAGTCGCAGAAGATGAGCCCTGATGCCTTTATTCAGATGGCTCTCCAGTTGGCTTACTACAGGTAAACCTTACCAGCACTGCCATTTAATATTATTTTCCATATTTATATCTTAACTGCTATATTATTACTATTATGAAATTAATGATCAGTTTAGTTTATTTGCTTGATTCGTGGACTCACTGTTTCAGGATTTACAAGCGCTGTTGTCCCACCTATGAGAGCGCTTCTCTCCGCATGTTCAGACTGGGCCGAACCGACACTATACGCTCAACCTCAGTTGACTCAGCCAGATTCGTCAAGGCCATGGATGACCCGGCCAATCATGTACAGTCACCTCTAGTACACATTTAATGCTGAATCCACATTCTCATACACTAGCAGGGGTGTAACGGTACATGTATTCGTATTGAACCGTTTCGGTTCGAGGCTTCCGGTTCGGTACGCATACAAACCGAACGATTCCTTGGACCATTTTTCCTGCCGATAAAATTCGCGCTGGCGCAACGGCGAGACCACCACAATGTAGCGCAACATCAAATGGCAAGCATAATGAAAGCGGAACGAAACTGCGCCACTCATTATGTGCTTCACGGGTCGTTTATCAGTTCGGACCAGCAGCATCTGTGCAGCGCGAGCCGATCTCGATCAAGCGACACTGTTACAACACAGCGCTAAGAGATCCAGTGAAGAAAACATTTGAATTCGCCACTGAAGTAATAACATCGCTGCGAGATCTAGTGAGAAGCATTCACATTTCTCCGTTATTACTGTAGATCTCTATTAGATCAAACAGCGCTGACGTGGACACCAGGAGAAATATTGTGCCGTAAATGAACTAGTAATACTTTAAGTCCACAGACCAGCAACATTCACCATGGATTTAATATAGTAACACTAACTGTAACCAGTTTGGCTGGAATAGTGAAATGCTTTCAAGTACTTCACACATCTTTTTCCAGCACTTCAAAACTCAAATATTATATAATAAATATATGAAGAGTTCAGATGCAAAAGCCTCTAAGTGCCATTTGAAATTTTCTTCTAGAATGATCATTTTTATGAAGCTTGTATATTTAAGTTCAGTAATTTCACTCAAATGACAATTAATAGGTAATTTTCATTGCCATTTAAGTGAAATTACTGAACTTAAATATACAAGCTTCATAAAAATGATCATTCTAGAAGAAAATTTCAAATGGCTTTTGCATCTGAACTCTTCATATATTTAAATGTTATTTTTAATGTGATGACCAAAACATTATTTGTTCATCCTCCAAAGATGACACCCATTTATAAACCTTAAAAGGTTCAAGATGTAGGAAAACTCACACATATTTTTTCTTTTAACTAATAGGAAATTTCTCTGGCATTTCTTACTTTTTGCTGTATCGAAAACGTACCGAACCGTGACTTTAAAACCGAGGTACATACCGAACCGTGATTTTTGTGTACCGTTACACCCCTAACTAGCATTAAAAAATATTGTGGGTCAGTAAGTTTTTTTTTTATGAATAATTCTGCTGAAAATGCATCCATCACAGGAATATATTCCATTTAATTTGATTAGAAAACATTTATTTTAAATTGTAATAAAATTTCAAAGTATTACTGTTTTACTGTATTTTTGATCATTGACATTTAAAAGCGTTAACAAATCTTACCGACCCCAAACTTTTGAACTAATTTATATATTATATAAAATATTTTGCTATGCATTTAGTTTGTCTGTTTTATTGTCAATATCGAAATCTTTTTCTTTTTTTCAAGTGCATTTGTAAATGTGATCTGGCATGAAATAAAATGTAACAATCTCATTTTGATGGACAGAACACAGAGAAAGTGGCTCTGCTAGACAAAGCTATTAAAGCACACAGAGCTTACACAGACATGGTGAGTAAACATGCTGGGGATGTAAATATATGTATCAATCATTATTGATCTGCACTAAATATATTCCACATTCTTCATCCTGTGCATGGATTTGCAGGCCATCCGAGGTCAAGCCATCGACAGACATTTGCTCGGACTGAAATTGCAGGCCATTGAGGACCTGGCTGCCCTGCCAGAGATATTCATGGATACCTCATATGCTGTGGCACTGCACTTCAACCTCTCCACCAGCCAGGTAATGCCAAACAGAGCATTTAGGTCCAGGGCTAGAGGTAACAAATGAAACTGAAGGGCATGTAAATAGATGCTTATTTGCAAAACAAACTCTTTGCTTTGCATTGTGTTCAGCATGTTGTGCTGATGAGCAGTACCATACCATTAACTGTACACATTTTTGGTGATGATCAACTGATCACTGAAATAGATGGCTCTTCAAATCTGCTAATATGATATTGCTGTGAAACTAAAATCATCAGATCATCTAAAACTCATAGCCCTGGTTTGAGACAGGGCTTAGATTAAGCCAGGATTAGGCCTTTGTTCAATTAGGACATTTAAGTAGCTTTTTTTTAAAATGTGCCTTAAAAAAGAACATTACTGTTGTGCATCTTGAGACAAAACAATGGCCTTGACATATTTTAAGATATGTCAGTGCAAGTTTCTTTCAGTTAAAACATGCATTTTAGTCTGGGACTAGTTTTAAACCTAATCTGTGAAACTAGGAATAATATTAAATTGTATTTTTTATTTTTTCCACTCTACTCTCCCAGGTGCCAGCTAAAACAAACTGTGTGATGTGCTTCGGTCCAGTGGTACCTGACGGTTATGGCGTGTGCTACAACCCCATGGATACTCACATTAACTTCTCAGTCTCTGCTTTCAACAGCTGCCAGGACACTAACGCAGCACGTCTGGCCCAAGGTCTGGAGGACGCTCTGATAGACATGAAGACCCTCCTGGAGCAGACGCCCAAAGCCAAGCTTTAAGGACGATTATGTCAATTAGACTTGATCTTTGACCAGTTCGATCAAGACATTTGAGTTTACCACAGTACTCGAGGACAGGAATTTTAAGAGATTTTTTATTTTATATTTGACCAGTTCAGACCAGAGTTGCCTGGACTCCATTGGTTTTTGAAACGCCTTGACACTAATTAATAATCCTTAACTTTTTATATGTTTATGTGCTTCTGTTTGTTTAAACAGACAAAAAAAATCAATAAGGTTTTTCAATCAAGTTTTGCTGATTGGTGTTTTCTTTGTATTGACTTTTCTCAGTAGGCTACAGAGAAAATAATACCATATATTTGCATTATGGTAATTCTGTGGTTAAAACTGCTCATGTGATTGTACATTGTAAATTATATATTAAATGTAATCAAATACAGGAAAAAAAAGTTTAAATGCTATGATGTGAATAGTGACATTTACAGAGCATTGGTTTCTTAGTTCTTTGCACAATATTGTACATTTGCATTAACATGTTTTTAATAAATATTATGTCTTTAATAACATGATTTGTCCTTTTTAGAATTGGCTGAGGTGATTTTTAATCAAAATTTGTTCTTGTGCGTGAAAATATTTGTCAATTTCCTGCTTTATTCTGCTGGACATCTTTAAAATATATATGCAATGGTTTTCTCATATGCACTCAGAAGAGGAACGCTTATTGGAGAAACTTGAATTTCACAGCTTGACATATTGTTAAATGCATAGTGGATAAAATAAATAATAGTTTTATTTTTTTATATTTTTTGTAACAATCTGTCAAAACTGGAGTTCCATCATTGACCCATAGGGGTCTCCGATTGACCCCCGATGATCTCTACTCGTCACATCACATGCTCATGTGTGCTATCAGGTGTGTGTGTAATCAGTGAGCTGCTGTGTTTTGCTCTTACCAATACCATACCTGTGCTCATCACGTCACGCAGAAGTGCAACATATTCGTGCGTTTCACCCTACTCTCAGGCGCCGGCGTTGTGCGATCATAACAAATTAGAGTATGGAAAAAATTAAAGATATTATTCCTGATTATCATGATGGGGAATTTATGTGCCCTAAAATGGGGTAAGTGTTATGACAGAACAGAATGTTTTTGTTCCACTCATTGTAGGTTAGCCTAATCTTTGGGACAAGTCGTGTTAAATAATTATGTCAAAGAATTTTCATTGTCATTTTTTTAAAATAATACATTTGTTACGAGTTATGGAGTTTAATTGGCAAATTAGTGATGAAGGCTAAGGTGTCCTTGAAAGCTTTTTAAAAATGCATACCAATAATTTCATATTTACATTTTAATCTTGTCAAATGTTAATAATAAATGCAATATATAGGCAATGCAATTAAATACCTCTCACTTCAGACATAATGTAAAGATAGGCTATATCTGACAAAAAAGGTGCATTTATTTTGTATTTTTTTTAATAAATTTTGGGTAAACTTGACTTTGTGTAAATTTAAATGTTATTCACATAAAAGGGAAATTGAGAAAAGAAATTAGGTAGACATTTTAAAATGAGAAAAAGTTGCATTTATGGTAACCAGTAGACCAGTTTATGGTAACTGGATTTGTCATGTTAAATGTTCTGATTTCATTTAACATACATATTTTGCCCTTTTCATTTTCTGCTTGTTGAAACGACTTTTTGAGGCATTTGCAGCAGTGTTGATGAGGTGAGACTCCTCCTTCAGTAATTTAATTCACATGATAGTGATTACAGTGAATTTTAGTTTGGACTGCTCAAAATCCGGACTAGTGACCCACTGTAGCTTAAACGGCAAGATAGGAAGAAGAAAAAAGAGGAAAGGGTGGAAGATTTTTTAATATCTCTTTTTTGAGGCTTCTTAGCCCGTTCCTCAGTGACAGAAAGCTGGCGGCCATGTCAGCTGTATGGGACACTGACTATCTGTGGAGGGAGGTCCAAGGGTCAGTGCAAACAGGTCGTCTTCTTTCATGTGGATTTAATTATAGATGCTAGACTGGACCTTGCTGTACTGTAACTAGTTCTGGTTTGAAAAGTCTGAAGGTGTCTGATCGGTGCTGGTCCAGTATTTATTGTGTGCATGTCATTAATGTAGCAGCTTGTTGACAATTCTTTCAATGAGATAAACAGCATTTTAAAATCTTACCATGCAGTGAACTTCTCACTTCGCAACATTGTTGGCAGCATATTTCAGCAACGGCATCTCCAATGTTCTGTCAAAGCCTGAGTTATGTAATTTCCACACCACATAGCCTAAATAATTCTTCTGCTGTTTTTGTTGATTGAACGTCTACATAGGCTAGATTGTTTTCAACAGGATGGTGAACTCATAGATTGTGTTGATACATTTGAAACATTCTACTTTCCAAGAACATCGGGATTTAAAAAGGCTACCTATAGGATATGGAAATCTGATTCTGCATTAAAGTAAAAAAATAAATGGGCAATTGTGAGAACTTAAAATAAAGAAATAAAGTAACGTGAGATATAAATTCACATTTGTAGGCATAAAATCACAATTACTTTCCTTTTTACTCTAAGATGAAAACAAAGCATCTATACCAGATAGTATGAGAGTAAATCTGTATGCATTAAAGGGTTAGTTCACCCAAAAATGAAAATTCTGTCAGTAGGCCTAATTACTCACCATCATGTTGTTCCAACCCCGTAAGACTTTCGTTCATCTTCGGAACACAAATTAAGATATTTTTGATGAAATCTGAGAGCTGTCTCACTTCATATAGGCTGGTAGTAATTTCATCTGCCAGCCCAGAAAAGTTAGTAAAGACATCGTTAAAATAGTCCAAGTGACTACAGTGGCTCAACCTTAAGTTTATCAAGCGACGAGAATACTTTTTGTGCACAAAAAACAAAACAAAAATAACGACTTTATTCATATTCATTTTCTTCTGTGTGGGCCTCTGACGCGAGTTCACGAGAGCGCCACAACGAATGCGCGAGAACTGAGAAGATGACGCAGATGGGTCTCGATGTAGTGTTTAAAATGCTTCTAAAGTGTGCATTTCCTGGATGTCCGAATCGTGAGAAACCAACGAAAAAACGTAAAAGTGCCTTACCAATGCCGAAAAATGAATGGCTTTCCTTTCACACTTTCCCATCAAATGATCGTGAGTGTCATCTTCTCAGTTCTCGCACATGCGTCGTGGCGCTCTCGTGAACTCGAATGAATAGTTGAATAAAGTCGTTCTTTTTGGGGGGTTTTGCGCACAAAAACTATTCTCGTCTCTTGATAAACTTAAGGTTGAGCCACTGTAGTCACTTGGACTATTTTAACGATGTCTTTAATAACTTTTCTGGGCTGGCAGATGAAATTACCTAGCAGCCGGAGGAGTGAGACAGATCTCAGATTTCATCAAAAATATATTAATTTGTGTTCTGAAGATGAACGAAAGTCTTACGGGGTTGGAACAACATGAGGGTGATTAATTACTGACAGAATTTTCATTTTTGGGTGAACTAACCCTATAAATCGAAAGTAATTTCCATGTTGATTTAGTGCTATAAGTGAAGATATAATGCTTGTTTCCATTCCTCTAGGGCAAAGCTGGCCTCTCTCTTTGGTCTGGACCGAGCAGAGAGTCAGGGAAATGAGTCCTTTCAATTCACTGCCCCTAAACAGCCAAAAAAGACCTGCGCCATATTAGGTATGTGGTACAGCAGAGAGTCATGTAGCCTTTTTGGCACAATTCCATGTGTTCTTTGATTATTTTTAACCTTAGTTTGTCATGTTTTTTAAGGTCCTCCTCAGAAGCCCGCTCATCCTCCATGTGCTCCAGCTGTGCAGTTTGCTACAGCTGTTCATGCATTCTGCTTGTTAGTATAAGTTTGTCAATTAAAGGATGCTAATGAGACTTTGAATTAGCGTTAGTTCACACATTGCTTAAATGAGCTTTGATTTTCCACCAGTGTGAATGGACAGTATGTGAAGCAAGGAAAGATAGGAGCTGCTGTTTTAGGGAACCATGTCACCAAAGAGGTAAGATAAGCGTGTGTGTGTGTGTGTGTGTGTGTGTGTGTGTGTGTGTGTGTTTCATTTGGTCATTTTTTCTATCTGCATTTATAGTACAAGATTCTGTTGTATGGCAGTAAGCAAAAGCAGATCACTACGGCTAGAATCTATCGTGGATTTGTCCTCACAGTAAGTGTTCATTGTTTTTATTCTGAATTTTATTCTATTGTGTCGTCTTGTGTTTTGTTCTTTTATATGCTGCATTCATCAGGTCTATGCTACATATACCTGTCCACAGGTTCAGCCCTGTAACTATGTCACTTTCTATGATGACCAACAACAGAGCTGGTCTTTAATGTTTGACTCAGAAAAGTCCAGACCTGAGTTCTGTAAGGAGGTAATGCTTGAACTGAATTATTTGCTGAACATTTAAAATTGATGCATTCGAAGAAAATTTTAAGCCCCAGCATTCTGCAAATTGTTAAAATCCATTTTTAAAATTTACAGATGGACCACATTATTGAATTAAATGACGTGTGAGCCTGTTTCTCTCAGGTGTGTGTGGCCAGGTGGAACAGTGAGGCTTCATCAGACTCTCTGGTCAGCCAGGACCTTGCCCAAGGTGAAGGTCAAGCTGTTGATGTTGGGGACTCAGTTGAGGTGGCCTATTCTGGATGGCTTTTACAGAACCATTCTCTAGGACAGGTGAAACCATTTGCAACCTTTTAATTGTCATATTCAAATCACACTTTACATGCATTATGGTATTTTGTAAAGACAAATGTCTGTTGTTGTGATACTAATTGTTTCAAAAATATAAAGATTAAATAAATATTTATTTATACCCCCGGTTTCACAGACAAGGCTTAAGCTAGTCCCAGACTAAAATGGATGTTTGAATTGTCTTAACTGAAAGCAACTTGGTCTGACAAATCTTAAAATATGTCAGTGCCGTTGTTTTGTCTCAAGATGCACACCAGTATGGTTCTTTTCTAAGGCACGTTTATAAAAGCTAATTAAATATTGAATCTAAGCCCTGTATGTGAAACCAGCCATAGTTTCTCATAATTTTGGAGAAGTTTCTACTCTTAATAAATTAAGTGGAATCACTGATTTTCTTAATTTGCACATTTGGTCTTGAATTTCTAGTTAAACTTCTTTACTCATAGTTGAGCACGTTTAGCACAGAGCAGCTCACTGTGCACATTCTTGTTGATTAGTTCAATGGGGGCATGACTTTTATTGAGCCGTGACTAATCAACTCACTGGTAATTTAAATGGCATGTTTGCTGTACAGCTGGAGATCTATACATGTGAAAGTTCAGTGTCTCTGTCTGTCTTTTCCTCCCCCCAGATATTTGTTTCTAATCTGGGAAAAGAAAAGCTGCAGCGAGTAAAGCTTGGAGCAGGCAAAGCTCTGAGGGTGAGAAGGGTGTGATGTTTTTAATGCTGTTTATACTGTATGACTGTGTGGTGTTTTTAATATGCTTTAAGACAAACCATGTGCAAATTCATCAGTCAACACCATTGCTGAGTATTTTCTCCTTAAAACTGCTTTGTACAGTCTGTTCTGCAAAGACGGTCTCAAAAACAAGGTTTGAAACCACCCCTGTCTCTTAGGCTACCGTCACAAACATGTATCCAATCCCATCAACGTGTGGGGCAGGGCTTTTCTCCACTATCTTTCTATGATGTTCAAAGCGTTTCTAAGGATGATGATTTTTAGAAGGAAGCGGTCTAAATCTGAGATGTTGAACGGGAACATGGTTTGGGTAACATTAGAAACACATTTGCTGTTTGATAACGTAGTCAAGACAAAGGCTAATCATATCATTTAATGTTATATGTCGGACGTTGTAGAGAGCAATACATAAAATGCATTAGGCTACCATTGATACGTCAACTTTTAGACGACCCTGTATAGTTCACTCTACCACTTCTTCTTCTGAATCAGTTTCTGGTTCAAACATATATGGCTGAATAAAAACCAACTTGTCATCGTGTAGCATTTACTGCTGTTGACCGGGATTGTCATTATCATTATCAAAGATGAGTTTTAAGGCATACAATTATTGACTGCAGAGGGACCTTGCAAATGATGATAAAAGAAACTGGTGGCTCTTATGTTGCCTTTTCTCTCAGGGATGGGAGGATGGGATGCTTGGTATGCAGAAAGGAGGTCGACGGCTCCTTATCGTCCCTCCTAGTATGGTTTCAAAGGGCGTCCCTAACCATGTGCCAGAAAACAGCACTCTGGTCTATGATGTAGAGATTCATAGAGTAAGGCACTGATGGTGTGAATGTAATTTAAGATACTAGAGCAAACATCTCTAGTCTCTCTCACTACTTTTTTAAAATCTGTCTATTTATCTACATGTAGGTTAAAATCTCCAAAGTGCGACATGGTGGGGGATCAGTTGACACCTTCAGTACATCTCCAGGAACCTGTCCAGACACTCTGAGTGAAGAAAACACCAGGCAAATGGTCACAACCGATACAGAGGAGTCAAAGTGTGTACAGACACCATAAACTATGCACTAATTGTTGATATTTTAAGTGAATCCCATTTGCAAAAAAATATAATGTAAAACAATTCTCAATCAAGTTTATTTTATTAAATTGAAGCGTCAGTAAAACATGATACATTGGCTTAAGAAGGAAAATTGATAAGATAATAAGACATTTTCTTTATAGAATATCTTGAATTATGTTTATTTTCTTAGGTTTTTCTTTCTTAGGTTTATGCTGAGAAGAAAAAGTGAAAGAAGATTCAACTTTAATCTTTTGCAGTTTTTTAGATTAAAGTTCATTTATCTTGTTTTTAGGATGTTTAGATATTTCGGTTCATTTAAAAAAAAAAAAGACAATATACTCATTAATACTTTTTTTTTTTTTTGATGTGTACATAATGAGAGGTCAAAGCAAGAATGAAGATTATGTGATAAGGGTGTTTTAATTAAGTGTCTCTGGACACACATCCATGAGCTGATTCCTATGAATTTATACAATTTATTGATCAATTGTTTTTAGAGAACAAGCTCCTAAGGGGAAGGTGCAATCTGTTATTGAATACCTGACAGTGAGTAGTATTTCCTTTAGCAACTAGACAGTTGCCATAAGCCTAAAGTGGCCAAAATGCTGAAGCTTTTTTACATTTATTTTTCTTTCTTGTAGACATCGGGTGCATCTAAGGCCAAGCTGATCTCACATATAGCCAAGATGGGTCAACCCATGCTTCCATTTCTCACTGGAGCCATTCCAACTCAGCCCGACCCCAGTGACTCAGAAACCGAGGTCAGGAGAATTGGAGATTTATTTTTTAAATCTTAGATTTGTTTCCTGAATGTATTATGAAGTAGAACTATAACTCGCAGATTTGATTTTGTGCAGGATGCCAGTGAGTCTGGACGTATCTGTGATCTCTCTCCTTCACATACACCCTCCCCAAAACCTGCACAAATGCCCTGCAGTCCTCCATCTTGTATGTGTGAAAACAATCACAAATAATCACCTAATCAGTATCAGTTAGCTCAGGGGTAGGGAACGTCGGTCCTGGAGAGCCACTGCCCTGCAGAGTTTAGCTCCAACCCTGAAAAAAACTCACCTGATTGTTGCCTTAATGATCCTAAAGACATTGATTAGCTGGTTCAGGTGTGTTTAATTAGGGTTGGAACTAAAATCTGCAGGACAGTGGCTCTCCAGGACCAACGTTCCCCACCCCTGAGTTAGCTCTTCTTTATATTAGAGCTGACTGGTTCTTTGCTGTCATGATTGATCTTTGTTTTAGTGTTGTGTCAGCCTGATGATGTTCAGAAACAGGACGCAGTGCCACCTCACGCAGACTTGAACACTACTCAAGGCTTTCAGGTGAGATCCAATGTAAAAAAAAAAAAAAAAATATATATATACATACCATACACAATACTGGTCAAAAGTTTGGAAACATTGGTAAAAAAAATTACTGTTTCAAAAATAGCAATTTATTTATTTTTGAAAGAAGTCTCTTATTATGAAAAAAACAGTAATATTGTGAAAAATATTTTTACAATTTAAAATAATGGTTTTCTATTTTAATATACTTCAAAATATAATTTATTTCTGTGATGGTAAAGCTGAAAGTTCATCAGCAATTAATACAGTATTAAGTGTCACATGATCCTTCAGAAATCATTCTAATATGCTGATTTATTATCAATGTTGGAAACGGTTATGCTGCTTATTGTTTTGGAACCCGTGATACTTTTTTTCAGGATTCATTGATGAATAAATAGTTAAGAAGAACAGCATTTATTCTAAATGGAAATCTTTTCTAACAATGTAAATCTTTAATATCACTTTAAAAAAAAAAAATCAATTTAGCACATCCTTGCTGAATTAAAGTGTTAATTTCTTTCAAAAAAAAGAAAGAAAGCAATTTCTGACCCCAAACTTTTGAACGGTAGTGTATATTGTTACAAAGGATTTCTATTTTAAATAAATGCTGTTCTTTTTAACTTTTTATTCATCAAAAAATCCTGAAAAAAGTATCACAGGTTATAAAAAAAATATTAGGCAGCATAACTGTTTCCAACATTGATAATAAATCAGCATATTAGAATGATTTCTGAAGAATCATGTGACACTGAATACTGGAGTAATGACTGATGAAAATTCAGCTTAGCATCAGAGAAATAAATTATATTTTAAAGTATATTCAAATAGGAAACCATTATTTAAAATTATAATAATATTTCACAATATTACTCTATTTGTTATGTTATGTTATGTTATTACTCTATTTATGTTATGTTATGTTATGTTATGTTATGTTATGTTATGTTATGTTATGTTATGTTATGTTATGTTATGTTATGTTATGTTATGTTATGTTATGTTATGTACCGTACCACCGTTCAGAAGTTTGGGGTCAATAAGATGTTTTATTTTTTTAAAGAAATTAATTATTTTATTCTGTTAACATTGATAATAAAATGTTTCTTAAGCACCAGATCATCATATTAGAATGATTTCTGAAGAATCATGACACTTAAGAATCGAGTAACGATGCTGAAAATTCAGCTTTGCCATCAAAGGAATAAATTAGATTTTAAAATATATTACAATGGAAAACAGCCTTTATTTTAAATTGTAATAATATTTTACAATATTACTGTTTTTATCATATTATGTTTGATCAAATAAATGCAGCCTTGGTGAGCATAAGAGACTAATTAAAAAAAATCTACTGACCCCAAATTTAGAAATTTAGTGTACAAATGTTTGTAAGAATCTATCTATTCATTTTTTTGGGATCAACAGCCGTATTCCTTTGGACAAAATCCATATTTTCCATCACAGCTAAATTCATTTCCCTCAATCTACCCATCCCACATTCCATACAAAAGTAAGGCCTGAGCCATGAACTCTCTCTCATACAGTACTTCCATAAAGAAAATGACCTGTTTTTCACTAAATGCAAGAGTTTTGTATTAAACAATAGCTCCTGATATTACATCGTTCTTGATGTCTGAGGCTCGTCAGCATAACACAGAAATCCTGCTGGCTATAGAAAAGGTGGCGCACAGGATGGACCAACTCACCTACAAGGTATATTTGTGCAATACAGATCTTTTTTGTATTGGTCCTTATGGTTATTAAAGTCACAAACACAATTTTTAAAATTGTTTTTTTTAGGTCGACGAGTTGCAAAAAGATGGTCACTCTTTTGGACTCTCCTCTGTCTCCTTAGAAACAAACATGATCCTACACAACATTCAGAGAATCATTCAGGTTTGGATTGAAGGATACTTTCTATAATTTTAATTGTATTTAGATGTAAATAGATTTAAATGACATCTGTGTTTTATTGTGTAAGGAGAGCATGTGTCTGAAGAAGGAGGTTCTGGAGAAAAGTTCTCAGGTGGAGGAACAGAACCCCAAAATAGGGGTGCTGCGTGGAGAGAATAAGAGGTGTCCTACCCCCCTCTTCACACTCCAATTTCCTGCTTTCCAATCAGATTAAAGGCAAAAATCCCCCCTAAACCAGTAATCCCAAACATTGACACACAACTGGTTTTCTCTGTGTGTGCAGGTCTATGGAGCAGACTTGCCGCCTTCAGGCTGAACAGGAAAAGGTGCAGCGCAGATTTGCTAAATTATGCTATGTTAGTTTATTGGCTCACTATATTATAATGTTATTTATGTTAAAACTTATTTGATTTGTGTAATTGGTTGCTGTGTTTTATTTTGGACTTCTTGCAGGTGTGTGCTGGTGAACTTTTGTTGTGAGGCAAAGGCCTTGAATTGTTTCTTTTCTATCTCTTCAGATTCATTTATCTGGGGAATCGAGTTCCTCCACCACACAAGCATATCAGCTGCAGCAGGAGATGGTGAATCTCCAGCGGAGGGTGACAGAAATCCAGGCTGATCTCAGTGCAGCCCTGGAGGACAAGCACAAGCACTGTGCTCAGATCAGCCTTCTGGAGGAACAAGTGAAAGGTGATCCCAAAGTTTCATTCAAGTTTTTACTCTTATTCAAATTTGGGGTACTTTTAACCATAAAAGTGGTAGTTGTATTGTAGGACAAAACTCCTAAGCTAGCACATATTTTCTACATAGAGTAGTTTTCTCCTCTGTGGTTCTTAACCTTTTTTGGCTACGAGGCCCTCTGTTGTCTGCAACAATATTCAAAGGCCCCATGACTTTTACAGTTCTTTGTAATTTACTGGATAAAAAATACAGATACGGATTTTTAAAAAAAATATTTTTTACTCGCAATTTCTACCTGATAAAATAGAAAAATGAATATTCATTATAAAAATGCTTTAGTTTTAAGATTTTATTAATTGACATCACTTATTCAGATATAGAAATCTCACTTTTTTTAAAATTTGTTTTTCAAGACACTGATTCTTCAAAACAAAACAAAAAAGGTTGTTGAGGGAGTGAATTAAAATAAGAAATGCATACATTCTTAGTTGTTTAATTTATTTGAATGCTTGTTTTGTCTTATTTTAAATAATTTAAGTCATATTGAAGCCCCTAACAGCTCCCTGGTTAAGGAGCACTGATCTGATCTGAAGTGTTTGGTGCAGTTTGTAAGAGTGTCTAGATAATGTGTGTTTTTAGAGCTTGTGAAGCAAGAAGAACAGTCTGAGCAGCGGTGGAGAGCAGAGAAGCAGAAGTGCAAAGAGATGGAAACAATTATACAAAACATGGATGATGAGATGCAAGATCTGAGGGCTGAAAAGGAGAATCTGCATCCGGTGTGTATAGTTTGTAGTAGTTTGAGCTTAGCTGGAAAACGGTGTGTGTTGCTGCACTGACGGAACAGAAGATGATGCTGGAAGGAACATTTACTGTGCTGCAAGAACAGGCTTGTGTAAAAACGTCACACTGATGAGCAAAGATGACCAAATGTCCACACTGAAAAGACAGGGCATAAAAATGTATCGAAAATAATATGGTGTATTCTGACAATTGAATAACTTTTCCTAAAGGAATAGTTTGCCAAACATATGTTTAGTTCTTAAAGGGATACTCCTCCCAAACATGCACATTTTCTTAATATTTACTCACCATCCAAGATGTACATTTATGTACACTTGCATTATATGGACTAAAAATCGTTGTTTGTGTTCATCTAAAGAAAGAGTCAAATGCATCTGGGACAACATGAAGATGAGAAAATAATTGGCAAATATTTTATTTTTGGGTAAAGCTTCCCTTTAATATCCCATTTACCTGCATTTTATATTTTAGTATGTGGATTTAAAGAAGACATCACAAAATAAGAAAAAGCCATTTGAGGCCCAGTTGGTGGTTCAGGTGCAGGGGTAAAGAGCTGTTGTTTTGCTATAGCAAAGTCTAAACCTAAAACTGAGCTGGTGTATCATGTGCAGGTTAAGCGAGTGATGAATGGAGTGTTTCAGTCCCTCAGGACAGGGTTTGATCCGCAGGAGTCTTACACTGGACACACAGTGTGCGAGATTCTCCAAAACACCATCAAGGTACTGTCCAACCTATTAGGAGAAGCCTATGGACTACAAAAGACACCAATTAGATAATGGTTTCCATCTTGTTGACATCTATTTTTTAGGGCTGTCAAATGATTAATTGTGATTAATCACATCCAAAATAAAAGTTTTTTTTACATAATATATGTGGGTGCACTATAATTATTTTATATATATAAATACACACACATGCTTGTATATATATATATTTATTTTTTATTTTTTAATAACTTTTATTTTGGATGTGATTAATCATTTGACAGCCCTACTATTTTTCCTTTGCAGAGTATCACCATGAAACTTTGGGAGATTGAATCAGGCGTAGATAAAGTGGAAGAAGAGTACCTACTAAGATCTACTGAAGAAATGTTTTCAGATGGAAAACATGCAGAAGGAAAACCATGAAATGAAGGAAAAAAGGCCAACATTAAAAAGGATGGTATTTTTGTTGATCAGGAAACCTGCAGATACTGTACATGTGGATAAAGCACCGTTGAACCACAACCATTGCTGACCCTGAAAGGAGAATTTATATTGACCAATCACAGTTGAAGAGGCTAAATAATGTCCAATAAATGATTCTTCAGTCATTAAACTGAAAGAATCCTAATTAGTTCTGGTCCATAACAACAGTGTCCGTCAACAGCACAACAGTGATATGACTGATCAGGTTATAAGCATGGGCCTAAAAGTTACTTTTTTGTTAGTAACTTACTAAATGGCCGGTGACTTAAGAAAATTTACCGGCCATGAAACTGTTTGTGCACAAACAGGCAGTTGTGACATCAAAATTGTAGATACTAGTGAAAATTCACAGTTCTATATTCCAATTTTCGATACCACAGTTAAAGCTATTGCCTAACTAATATAAATCTAAACCATTATTAAAGACGGGTAACAGTAGTTTTCAGGTAGAGACATTGAATTAAAGGTGCACTGTGTAATATTTAGGAGGATCTGTTGACAGAAATGCAATATCATATACATAACTGTTTTCAGTGGTGTATAAAGACATTACATAATGAACCGTTATGTTTTTATTACCTTCTTAGAATGAGCAGTTTCTATATAAATACACCGCGGGTCCCCTTACATGTTATGTCGCCATTTTGCGCCGTCATGTTTCTACAGTAGCCTTAAACGGACAAACGTGTTTTGTCACTGTTGTTCTACGTGCAAAGAAACTAGCTAAAGTCAGCGAATAAAACACTGACACAATGATGAACAAGTAACAATAATATTCGCAATAACATTTCGTTTTACTGATTAATTAAGTAAACATAATTTCTTACTTTATCCTTGTAAAGAAACCTCATTGCTCATTTTCCTGTCGGCTAACCGTAACTTCTGTTGGTTGCAATTCGCAACCTCACCACAAGATACAAAATCACTAAAAATCACACACTGCATCTTTAAGTAATCAAATATAAAATAACACTGGATTGTCTTTACTGTATAAATTAAACTAGACTAATCCTTATTAATGTTACAAAAGTTATTCAGCCATTTAAGAGCAGTGAGGGATTTTCTTCTCTTTATCTTTTGTAGTTTGATAAACATAAACACAAACAGCAGCAGAAATATTTGGCTTCTGTCACTTTAAGACTGATGCACATACTCATGCATTGTCTTTCTCTACTGTTTATGTTCACTTAAGCCATAACCGACAATGTTTCCTAGGATACTCTCCGAGACAGGCATTTTATGACTTTTTTTTTGTGCATTTTATGACATTTTGTGTGAATTTGTCCGGTACTCAATTCAGTAGTCGCACACTGTCTGAGAAGTGGCTTTCTGGGCGTGCGCTTAAGATGTGTGCACACACAAAACTTCTCACATAGCGTGGGAGTAACGAATTGAGTTTCTTTTCCCGTCTACTTGAGCTTGAATATATATATTGGCAAGGCTTAATATTTCGTGACGATGCAGTACTTACCCGTCAACTGTCCCGAATGTTCACGTTCACATGTTAGAATTCATAAAAAACTGATCGGCCAACTAGCGATTAACGCTGCTTTATATAGGCTACTCACAGATGCCGATTTTCACAATTTTCTTAAAAGAACATCCTCTAATTTAGTATTTGGGTTGTATTTATAATAGAGCTGTCAATCAATAAAAAAAAATAATGGCACACTTTTCTGTAATTAATCATGATTAATTGCACCTAACATTAAAATTGTAATAATTTCAACATAAAGACTGTTTATTTAAAATTTGTTTTATATTTTAGAATCTTTTTACAAAGTACAATGAAACTGTCACACTTATGTTCAGTCTGTTTTAGTTATCATGGAATGTTTTAATTCACATCATGTGTTCCTTTGTTTAATTTTGCCGCCACTCCTTTGTTTCTATGGTTATCTTGTTTGAGTCACTACTTAAGTTCTTCTTCACTCACAGTCCTTCAGTGTTCGGTCTACGTTACATTTAGTGTGTGTTGCCCTGCCTGTCTGACAATTATTTGTTCTGTTATTAAACTTTGTATTTGAACTTTATTCTTCATCTTCGTCTGCCTTCCTGCAACCACCCGTGACACCACCTATGATGATTTGAGACCGAATAATAATAACACATCTTTAGATTTCCTGTCTGAGAGTATCTGAAAAACATCTCAATGTAGCCTACCGGTATGTTTAATTTGTGTAATGTATAAGCATTTTTTGTGTGTGTCCATGTTGAAAACTTTGTTTCTCAGAGATAGTTCACCCAAAAATGAAAGCATTGCAGTTTTTTTTTTCAAGTTACTCTGAGACACCCCAACTCCACCCAGTGTTCCTTAAAAATTGCAAAACACACTGTTAGGTTATTTCTCAGCGCCGCTTCAATCATGGAATTAACGCCCGCTGGCAGAAACAGACACAGAGGATGATGTTTCATGTTCAAGCTTCTTCAGAGGTTTATTGATCAGCTAGGCTTATATATTCAACGCCAAGGATACCTTACAGTTACTTTGGTTTAATTTTCACAAGCAAGTGGTACATTTTTAAAACTAATGATACAACTAATATAACAACAGATCATTAAAATTGCACTTTTTTAAAAACATTTCAGCATATTTTCAATCACAATGTCACAACCTATCCATTTCACAAATAAGTGTTGACTAGACTATATAAATGTTTCATAGTACCTTTCATAAGCTCTTACTATCAAACTTAATATGCATCTCTTGTTCAGTTTAATCCTTTCCTCTATTCTATTATTTAATTTAGCTGATCTTAATGGTTAATCATTGTAAATCATTTGGTACATCTATAGATTTCTATAGAATTGTTTGCAGTTTCCAATACTGATAACCAAATATAATGAATACTTTTTACATTATAATTTATCTCAGCTGATAACCACTATGTTCAAAGTGTGTGTGTGTGTGTGTGTGTGTGTGTGTGTGTGTGTGTGTGTGTGTGTGCTTGTTTTTATGATTTATTTGGATAAAAATGTGTATAATGACATGGGTATTACAACATAAACAAAGTTTTCTGAAATGATTAGGTTTAGGGGTTGTATGTTGCTTTACGACTGTCCTAATGCCAGTGACAACAAGTAATATCTTACTTGTTCATTAAATATACATGTTAAAAAGGTACATGTACCATGTGCTATTCTAGCTGTTAGTTTTAACTCAGTTAAGACTGGTTCCATGTTGAAATTTGAAGTCTGTATAGCATCTAAACCCTTTTAAAAGTGTTTCATTAAAACACTCCTCATTATAGTTATTATCACACAAAAAAATATGTTGTTCAAACTGTTTCCCATAAAGAGAAACGTTCTTTCAGAACATCCAATCATCATCCTCTATTTGCTTTGACCACCATCATAAATCAAACATTTAAGGTCCCGGCTTCAACCCTTTAACCAACAAACTTTTGCCTGCCTTTGCCAACATTCCCTTTACATTCAAAACACCAACTTGAGCCTTTTGTTTAATCAGACACAAACACCTCCAGCTTTTCTGATGTCACTAGATTACCTGAGATCAGCTTTCTGCACTGTAAACATATTTAGTAACTAATCAAGTATTACTGCTTCTACTTATTTGATCTTAAAACATTATTTTAGTTGTCAAGTTCTCAATTTTGTCATTTAGCTAAACCTCTGACTGCTTCATAACTGTAGAAATGATATCATCTGACCCAGTTGCCATGCTACTCACAGTATGTATAAACAGATCACACTCACACTGCTCTGTTTATAGTTCAGCAAGGAGAAGACACCTGCAGGGACGGTTTTCCACTTCGTCCTCATGTCAGTGGCCCGGAGTCATTCCACCCTCCTGACTGTGCGAGAAACAATCCCGACTCTGGCTGTTTGATGGAGATAACAGTTTCTCTGTTATTCCATCCTGCCAACTATGCCAAAATGTTAGATTGGATTTATCTCCACATCAAAAAAATATCAGATATATTAGATCTGACCCTGGATGCCGAATCCCTACCAGAAGATATCAGTCTTCTATCAGCCTGAGAGTTTGACTAAGAAAGCCAGGGAAGAGCAGAAGCAGGAGACAAAGTGATGATAATAAAAAAAGCAGAGTTTATAGAATAATCTCAAGTTTCAACGCTCTGAATGTCTCAATGCTCAGACTTCATCTGACCAGTACAAATCCAGCACATGTTATTATACCCCAGCAAAACTAAAAACCTTGAAATGGAGACTCTCTAACTCGTGAAGACAAAGATCCTGTGAAACCACACAATCAGCATTAAACAACAATAGAAAAGAAATAAGTAAAATATCAGTGACATGAATAATAATAAAATTATGAATAAATGATAAATCAAATGACAACTAAATGAAAAAACAAAGAAAATAAAACAACACAGATGTATGGTTGCTTATCCAAAGTAACACACACGGGTTACCATTGAGAATCCTTAGATCCTTCAACTGTAATAGATAAGTCATGAGCTAAGATGTAAAGAATGTTCAAGGAAAGGTTCAAGCGGGACCAGGCAGTGATGTCTCCAACATAAATAACACCAGCCAAGGATTTCTCCAGACATAGATAGGTCTAAGTAGCAAGGACAATACACACAGCTAGATTATTTTTCCTCATAACTGAGAACTGAAAGCAGGTTTCTACTCTCTTTCTCTCTCTCACTCACTCCTTCACATATACCAGTTGAAGCTCTCTAAGAGAGCTGAACACTTAGACATCACTGAGAGCAACTTCTTGTTCTTGAATTGACATGGCGAAGCAGAACTACCCAGCAGCTTGCGGGATCCCGATGCAGGACAATAGAGTCTACACTGCCCAGCCCCAGCCAGTGATAGTGTCCATGCCCAAGCAAAAATTCAATGATGATATACTTTTTTCCACATTCAATCTTCACTTCTGTAACCCATGCTGCCTTGGGTTTGTGGCCTTTTACAACTCCGTGAAGGTAAGCAATTTTAATATGTTAAATGATAAAAGTGTCCTGCTGCTTTACAGACACCTTAAGGTCATCATACATTTTATGTGTCAGGCCAGGGACAGCAGATTGCTTGGAGACCTCACATCGGCACGGTTATACGGCAGTAGAGCTCGATGCCTAAATATTGCATCCATCATTATTTGTGCCTCTGCTATTATTATCCTCATCATCGTTGCTGTCACATTGATTAATCTCACAAGTTATCGATATTATCATTAACTCCTCCAAAGAATTAATGTCTGAATGTTTGTATTGACCTGTATGTACTTCTTTGTTTTTTATTAAAACATTTATATCTCTTGAAACTTTGCATTGTTCTTTTTTGATCATTGTTACTGACCTACTGGTCTTGCAACAAGAAACTGACTGCTGTGTGTAGTATAAATATAAGTGTGTGTATATACTGTATATGTAACAATAATAATAATAATTAATAATAATTCGTTACATTTATATAGTGCTTTTCTGGGTACTCAAAGCGCTTTACATGGAAGGGGGAATCTCCTCAACCGTAATGTGTGTGTGTGTGTGTGTGTGTGTGTGTGTATATGGATTATAAAAGTCATATACAGTTGCAGTATGCAAAAATAGACCTCGTAATTATCAAAGGACACTAGAACACATTGTCTAGCAGGTTTATTTTGCAGATGTGTGACAGGAGTGATAACACACTCTTAATAATGAACAGGCACTATTTCAATGGATGTGATTGGTTGGGTACAATTATAAAAGCTAAAAATACATATAATAATACAATATATTATGAATATGCAGGGAAAAAAGGAAAACATGTAATGGCAGCATGTATGTGGTAAATGGATGTAGCATTGAGATTTAATCTCACTTAGTCATCACAGGTAAGGTGACATTTGTATAGTAGAAATGACCATACAAGGTATCAGTTCTTATAAAATAAACGAAGGACGACTACAGTGTGCAGGTTAATAATAACCTGCCATCAGAGGGTAATTTATACAGTAACTCCTACTATTACTATGTCTAGAAGAGTCGTTTTTGGTACATTGTCATGTACTGATTGCACATTCTACTAAAAATTCTAAAGCTTTCATCATGTTTTTTTCTTTAATGACAAATACGATTTGAGCTGCACAGCAAATAAAAGACATATTTGTCCAGTCCAGTCCATACAGCATAACTGAAGCACACAAAACACACAGATTAAAAGTTTCTGATGTGAATTATCATGCTGATAAACACTTCAAGATCATTTCTTGAAATATAAATGAATATGAAATAAAAATGAACATTGTTTCACCTACAGGCATATTATTATTATTTTCTTTCATTCTGCACATTTGACAAGAGAAGCAGACTTGCATTTAAGAGCACTTGGATGAAGACAGAAGTACACAGAAGTGATTTTGGAAACACTATTGCGTGCGTGCAATACTTGAAGTCGCTGACAATGGTTAGTTGACAGTGACTGGCAGAGCTTTTGTGAGGTTGAATGTTTTGGGAATTATATAACAAGTACAGTGCCTTTAGAAAGATTTCACCTTCAAACTATTATTTCCTATTCTGCTGTGTTGCCAAGTCAGTTTAAACCATTTAAATGTAGACGACTCAATTCTGTAAATCAAAAAAAAACAAAAAAAAAAACATTTGGATTCACATTTATACTAAAAATGTCAATCTTAAAAATGACTTTAACACCCTGGATTGGTTCTCTCTGGTGGCACTGCAGAGTAAAGGTCCGTTCACACCAAAAACGAGATGTATAAAGATAACTATAACCATAACTTAGCATCCACACCAACAAACGACAGTGTTCTGTTTATTATAAGCACGGCACACACTGCAGTTATGTCAGCTGCCACATTAAATGTTTGAGCTCTTTAATTTGGGGTGGATTCTGATTGGAATTCTGATTGCAACACCGTGCACAGGCGTGAATCCCGCGATATCAGTCTTTGATCTCACCGCGAGATACACTGATCCACTGCGAGAAGAGAGATCTATCCGTCTTGCCTGCACTTTTTGCACTCCTCCCCTCACTGCAGCCGCCTACTCTTGCATACATTTCAGGCGAGGCAAGGCGCATCTCAAACAAGCCTATTTCTTTCCTGGTTCGGTTGAAACACGCCCCATAATCACAGCCCAATGGAGCGGTATCAGACTCACATTCTGACTAGAATCTGAGTATGACGACGTCAGGCTAGTGGACTTTCCTATTCTCATAGAAATAGAACGATTCAAACTTTATAGTTATTGTATTTGATGTGAACGGCCCTTAATGTTGATGCAGTTTGATCCTATTGCTCGACGATGACACTAGAACAATATTGTGGGCATGGGGGACTGTGGGGTGTGGATGAAGATTTAGCTTTACTATGGAGAACATGCAGATATTTAAAATTTAGTGGGAGGGGGAAAGAGTTGACATTAAATACAGAAAAGGCACAAGTGCTTAGAGCAGATACATCAAGGGCAATACTAAGACTCAACAAGTCAATATATTATAGTATATCTATTTTTTTTCGTTTTTTTAGATGAACCGTTACCAAATTCTTTCTTGCTGTTAATTTATTGGAATGTGACCAGTTTATGATGAACAAATGGACAAATGTCTTGCTGTATATGTTCCTCTTTGATTGGCTAGTTGTAGCAGTAGTGGAAGAGAAAATCCAGTAACTTCTAAAGTGCTTGAAGGTTCACAGACGATTTCATGCAGCAAATGGGAGGAAGGACCAATACGACATGTGAGGTATGATCCTGACCATGGAAAGACTCGGTGGACGTTCGTCGGCTTCAGCCATGGTAAAGACGGACACGCTGAGATATAGAAGCACGGCACAGAGGGCAGGACTGCAGGGCATCGCTGCAGGTCTGGCAACAGCATACGTGTCCACACGGCAGGAAGATCACATGTGACTACACAGAGCAGAACAGGAGAGGAAATTGAGTTGGGGTTTTTTAAAGCTGAAAAGCTAAACTGTAACAGCTGTATTCATTACAAACCATACTAATAAGTTAATATTTCTTATAATAAACTAATAGTTAATTAGAAGGTTAATGTTTCATTTTATAAAAATATTTACACTACCTTTCAATCGTTTTGATCAGTAATTCTTTTTAAATAAATGAATAGTTTAATAGACGATAAATAAACAATAAAGACTATATTGTTACAAAAAAATCCATTTTAAATAAATACTTTCTATTAATAAAAATGTATATGTAAATGTAAATATTTTTAATTGTAATATTTCATAATATTACCGTTTTTACTGTATTTTTATAAAATACAGACTTTGTGATTATGAGATTTCTTGCAAAAACAAACAAAAATAGTACAAATGTATAATTTAATGTCTTCACTTCTAAATATTTATTTGAATACTTTAGCCACTTTTTTAATTCAAATTGTTACTATTTGCATTAATAATTAAGCTTTTAAATGAAGGGAAGGCTTTACCTCATGTTCCATGCACACCACACACTCGGAACTGCTAAATCTATCAGGACCTGGGGCAGTGGGGGTGAGAGGGGTGTTGGGGGTCAGTGGAGGAGTGAGCTGCTGTTGAGGTGGGGCACTTGGAGTGGATGGACCAGCTTCCTGTATCTCTTTCGCTGTTTTAGGCAATGCTGAAGGGACAAAAATGTTATGATACCGCTATCACTGAAAAATAAAAACACTGAACAGAATTTACAAATTTCACTAAATTAAAAATAGTACTGTATGTCCTCAAGGGAATATGTTTGCTCTTACGGTCAGACAGAGTGCGTTCTCTGGCCCAGTGGAGAAGAGCTTTCTGCACGCCAACCTCACTGATCCCCAACTGTAAAAAAAAAAAAGCGGAAAAGAAGTTAATGAAAGGTCATTTTAATGGACATAAATCTCTGATGGCACACACACTTTCAAAAATGTGTTGAAACACAAAGGGAAAGATAGCAGACCTTCCTAAGGTCCTTGGCGGTCATGTGTCGCAAGGCCTCAGCTGTGATTCGGTGGTGAGCTATGATTGGCAGGTAGTGTTGAGCAGAGAGTTTACACAGCATATTCCCCAGATCCCTATCCACAGCCTCTTCCTGAGGAGAAAGGAAAGGACAGCAAAGTGTCACTAGGTACGTTTACATGGACACCTTTTGGTTCAATCGGAATGAAATCAATCCGATTGATGAATACGAACACGGTGTGTTACATGAACGATAAATAAAGTAATCGGGTTGATGTGTGCGTTTATATGTCAAAAGATTTAAATTGGAATTGATTTTTTGACATGCGCGCACTGCACGAATATGCCGCTGTTCGTGCATAACTATTCTCCTCTATTGGTTCTTTATTTGTTTTAAACAGCAGACTTAATATTTATCCGTCTCTGGTCATGATTTGGAGATGATGAGCACGAATTCCGTTGTGCCGTGCTGCTTATATTTATCACGCAGTAAAACCCCGCACCCAGAACCAGTTGTCCTTGGATGATAATCTGAAACAAGGACTGGAGGGACATTGTCCTGCTCCACTTCACAGACGCTGAGTGAAATGAGAATTTTAGAATATCGGGAAACTCATTTATAAGACACTTTATTCAACAGGAAGAACAGCTCGTTCTGTGAGTCATATGTCATTACGCTATTTCAACGTCATTGCACATGCGCAGTCCTTTCAGTTTCGGTTTTCAATCCGATCAAGTGTTTACATGTTCTGTTGATCGGATTACAAAAGGAGTAAACCACCCCTTTCAATCCGATCGAAATTCCAATCGGATCGAGCTCAATCGGATCGATTAAGGTGTTTACATGAAGGTTTTTTAGTCCGATTATAAGTGTCCATGTAAATGCAGCTAGTGATTTTGTGATTTGAACACAGGATCCTGTAGAAGAGCTGCTCTGACCTGCATACGCAAAGACAGCGGTTTAGCATCCAGGAGCCTCTGATATTGAATCATCCAGTAGTTCTGCTGATTGGATTCGCTCTTCTGCTCCAGCTCCATCTAAAGAGCAAAGAAAAAACATCCTTAGTGTCATTTCTGATACATTTTGTAAAAGTCCTAAGCAAATATAAACACTATTGAATTATCATGCCATTATTTGAAATACATTTTTGCATGGGGTTTTCAAATTCTGTATTTTTTTCCTACACAGAATAACAAATATACAGACAACAGAAACATTTGCATCAAATGAAAATTCTAGAATACTATTTCCCAAATTAACAAAGCTCCAAGATAGATAGATAGATAGGTAGATAGATAGATGGTCCAGAATCACTCACCAAGACCAGCTTGAGCTCCTCCTCCCTCTGGTCCTTCTGTTTGAGTAACTGTTGCAGTAGGTCACTCAAAGCGGTCCTCTGGTCAGCCAGCACCTCCTTCCACACACACACAGTGAATACAGTAAATACACACACTCAAACAACACAAAAGAATCATACTCCCAGAATGCTGTGATAACTCATAGAGGTATTGTGAGCATGATACTTAAACAGGAATGGGATGAAATGGCTAAGTAATCAGAGAGAGAAAGAGAGACGCAAAAACAAACAAGAAAAGTGACGTGCAGCAACAAACAGTGACGGTTACTCCTCTCTACACTCCACAGCATGATGAAGCACTGGAAGGAAAGCACCACATCATCTACTGCTGCTACGTACCTGCAGGTTCTCAGTGTCCAAATTCCTCCTCTTAACCTCCAGCTTTGTCAACTGCAATAACTCTGCCTCTATGAGTTTAATCTATGGATACAAGCATACAGTGGGGGTGTGAATGGCCCCATGGAGACATGATAAAACAGCCATCTTTTGGGTTCTGCATCCAATGAGAGGTGGGATGTGAGAAGCATGGGCTGACTGAAACCAAAAAAGCTTTTAATGGCTAGAATGACTACACAAGACCATCTTACACATTATTACTTTATAGACCTTATGTAGCCCCGCCCCTTTTCAGCACTGCGCTCATTGTGTTCTGTTCTGTCTTCCGGTTTGTATTTTCACAGCAACCTTCCTGGTCTGCTGACATTTGTTATGACATCCGCTTCAAACAACAATGCTCATAATAAATTTCATCAACTCTACAATAAGTAAATCGAGTTTCTTGAGCACTAAATCAGCATATTAGAATGACTTCTTAAGAAACATATGACACTGAAGACTGGAGTAATACATAGTGATAAATTACATTGGTCATAGTCTTGTCATTCGTTTTTTTGGCTTCAGTTTAATTTGTAGTCTTGGTTTTCCTTGTCAGTAGCCGCGTTTCCATTACCCTTCAAATTGCGCAAATTGAAATTGAGAATTGAAAATACGCACAATGGAAACACGTCAATTTCGCTTTATCGCAAAAAAGTTTTTACGCTCGCATGAGGTGGGTTTTCAGGCAATTCGAAAAACAAATATTTCGCAAAAGTGGAATGGAAACAGTTTTTGCGCATTTACAGTCACCTGACTTAGAAGCGCGGTGTGTTTGGACAGAATACGAGACAGAGTTCTTTATTAAATTCATAAAAGAAAAAAGAATTACAGGAAAACTGGATTCTAAACCTCAAAGAAATGTCACAATCAAGACCTCGGAGCAGAAATGAGGGAGAAACACAGAGAAACACCTTATATGAGCTGCTCACAGTATAGGCTTCTTTCGTTGCCATTAACGCTTGGATAACACGCCACGTCTCCTCCTATTATTAATAATAATAATGTCTAGTGCGGTGGCTCTGATATATATAAACCTACCAACGTCTGTTGCCATGATTTTTGGAATGACTGATCGCGAGAGGAAAAAACAACCTTTTAGTCGCATAACATCGGTTAATGGAAACGCCGTCAATTCGCAATAGTTTTTTATCGATATTTAGAAAAAAATCGCAAAAGTTTTGTGCAAATCTGTAATGGAAACGCGCCTAAAGTCTTGCCTGTGTTCTAGTTATCATTTTTAGTTGTTATGGTATCTGATTAGTTCCCACCTGTTCCCTGTTTTGTTAATGATCTCCCTATTTGTATTTAAGGCCTCAGTTTCCTCAGTTCTAAGTCTTGCATTAAAAGTTACGGTCGTAGTCTTATTTCCCAGAGTGTTTATTAAAGTATATGTGTATTATTATTCGTCAATCTGTGTCACACAGCTTTTCCTTTGGACTGTTTGATATTTTCAAATATACTGTATTAGAAAACAGTTATTTTAAATTGTAGTAATATTTTACAATAGTACTGTTCTTATTGTAGTTTTGATTAACTAACTGCAACCTTGGTGAGGATAAGAGACGTCTTTAAAAAACATTGAATCCCTGAATCTGTAAGGGTCTTATTGGCTCTTGGATCTTAAGGGAAACCTCAATCATCATACCTGATTACGAATATAAGCATGCACACTATCCTTCTGAAGCTGGAGGGCTTCAAAGGCGGCCTTCTGCATTTCCTCCTGGAGAAAAAGAGCCAATAAAGGTTAGTTCATCATTTTAGAGCAATGCACCACCTGTACTATTTATAGTAGTTCATTAATGTATTTTGCCTGTGGAGTGGATGGAGTGCAGAGTAGTTTTTAATACAGAATACAGATCATGTACATTGTAAGTTAGTAAATTGAATAGTTACCTCTTGAAGGATCTGACTAATGGCTTTGCTTTTGTCTAGCTGCTGCAGGGATAACACTTGGTCAAACTTCTTATCCAAACTGTCCAAACTAAATGAGGAAAATGATTAAGAGATTAAGAAAGAAGGAAAAATAGGACTGTCTATTCACCGGACAATCAAGCATTGCAGTTTAATTTTCTTTATGAACAAGCAGAGCATTGACATAGTAAGTGAAGGATGTAATCTCAAAATCAGAGAATGTGTCTTTGAAATCTGTTCACATGTGGTCACAAGTGATACTTTTTAGATGAATGTTAATACAGAGGGTAAACCACGAGTGATCTGATCAACAAGACGAATGTTGATACCAGGTGTAAACAGGGTCAAAAGGGTCTGGACAGAGTTCAAAACCATATGTATTGGTAGGAAGTGAAGCACCTCCTGCAGGTCTCAGACACCAGAATCTGCGTCTTGGCTTCCCTGGCCTCCTGCAGTAACCTTAAAGAGCAGCTCTCTGACAGCATCCTCTGCATGGCACCTGCGAACATGTATATATAGACTTACATAGACAGCAGAGGAGTTTAAAAAATACTGGGGGAAAGAGAGGGGGACTGGGACTGGGACTGGGACATGATGCAGGTATGAGTCAAACTACAAGTACTAAACATGTCTGAAGCATGTCACAGCTCTGAGAAATAACAAAGATTTCTAATGACTTGCCAACTAAATATTTAATTATGGAACAATATGGTAATTTTAGAGATAAATGAATTTTCTAAAACTCACCTGCCACTTCCTTCTTCCTAAGAGAGTTGGCTTCTTCCTGTGTGATGGCAGCAAGGTGTTCCATTCGTATGCTAAAAACAACAACAAAATATTCATAACTGTATCTTTATTTAAATAAATACAACATCAGGGTAAGTTTAAGATATGACTTCTATATACACTACTGTTCAAAAGTTTGGGATCAGTAAGATTATTTTTATAGAAATTATTACTCTTATTCAGGAAAGAATGCATAGCATAGATTAAAAATGACAGCATAGACATTTATCACGTTATCCCCCAAAAAATCTATTTAAAATAAATGCTGTTCCTCTGAACTTTATCTCTACTTTGTTTCCACAATAAATAAATAAAATTAAGCAGCACAACTGAAGAAATGTCACTTAAGCAGCAAGTCAGCATATTAGAAGGGTTTCTGAAAAAATCATGTGACACTGAAGACTGGAGTAGTGATGCTGAAAATTCAGCTTTACCATCACAGGAATAAATTACATTTATTATACATTAATATATTAAATAGAAAACCGTTATTTCAAATTGTAATAATATTTCACAATACTACTGTTTTTACCGTATTTTTTATCAAATAATTGCAGCTTTTGTGAGCATAAGAGACTTCTTTCAAAAACGTACAAAAAATATTACTAACCCCAAACTTTTAGTCTGCATATATAAACAACTGATTCTGATACAGAACTAACGCCGACTTACAGATACCGACTTAAAGTAACGCTTAAAGTAATGCCAGGTCTTTTTGACCCGTGGTGCATTCCCCGTACAATGACGTAACTCACTGCTTAACTACATAGTATGATCAAAGTCCCTTTAAGATATATATAAAGTCTTTTGTACGATGCATCATTGAAGAAATCAAGTAGCTAGTCACGACTGTTTCCCGAAACCGTACTTTCACAAATTTGACGTTCAATCACGTTGGTTAAAGGGTTAGTTCACCCAAAAATGAAAATTATGTCATTAATGACTCACCCTCATGTCGTTCCAAGCCCGTAAGACCTCCGTTCATCTTCGGAACACAGTTTAAGATATTTTAGATTTAGTCCGAGAGCTTTCTGTCCCTCCATTGAAAATGTTTGTACAATATACTGTCCTTGTCCAGAAAGGAAATAAAGACATCATCAAAGTAGTCCATGTGACACCAGTGGGTTAGTTAGAATGTTTTGAAGCATCAAAAATAAATTTTGGTCGAAAAATAACAAAAACTACGACTTTATTCAGCATTGTATTGTCTTCCGGTTCTGTTGTCAATCCACGTTCACGAGTCCGCAGTGACGCTGTGGTGACGTAAGACGCTGCTGACGTGTATCTGGTGCGTCCGTGTATTCGGGTTTAAATAAATATGGCTGGGCAAAAAAATGCAAGTCTTCCTCTGTGTCAAAATCCTTAGACATGTTTGCGATAATTGTTTTGTTTACAGCGTGCCTCAGACTGCAAACGAAGCTTGGCCGCACCAGATTACACGTCATCAGCATCACTGAACGCGGCTTGACAACAGAACCAGAAGAGAATACAATGCTGAATAAAGTCGTAGTTTTTGTTATTTTTGCACCAAAATGTATTTTCGATGCTTCAAAACATTCTAACTAACCCACTGATGTCACATGGACTACTTTGATGATGTCTTTATTTCCTTTCTGGACAAGGACAGTATATTGTACATACATTTTCAATGGAGGGACAGAAATCTCTCGGACTAAATCTAAAATATCTTAAACTGTGTTCCGAAGATGAACGGAGGTCTTACGGGCTTGGAACGACATGAGGGTTTGTCATTAATGACATAATTTTCATTTTTGGGTGAACTAACCCTTTAATGATGTCACGCAGGTGGTGGCAGATTTTTCGCTATGAATTACGGACATGCCATCTGAGTACCAATTCTCATTTTTCTCAGTTATTTTGTTTTATTTCCAGATTCAATCATAGGCTCGTTATTGCATACTAGCGCAAGTACACACATGCACACTCTAAATACATATTTAAATCTCTTGACAAACTAAAAGACGTAATTGACATTTGTTTATATTCGAAATAAAATTTAGTATAGATTGTACTGAATGTCAGATTGCTTATTTTGCTCAAGATAGAGATTTATTAAGATCACATGTCATACAAACAAGAAACTCAGCTTCTAACCACAGGTCAAGAGTTGTCGTTCCAACCACACAACTTTGCGATGATGTTTGCGAATATTCGTTAGAACTATGGTTAACTATGGCTGATAACAATGGAACTTGCAACCATAGTTGGCTAACAATGTTTTCAGGAAACGCACCTCTGATCTCCAAAAATACCGTAATGTACCCGTAAACGCTGAACTAATATGGGTTTGGTCAAAAGCGCTCTGTGTGCTGTAACGGCACCACAGCAGTGGCATTGCTCAAACAGCTCAGTACTTGCAGTAACTCTGGATTTCTAAAGTGGTGCCATTAGATAGAGCGAAATTCACTTAGCAAGAGCTGCATTGATGGAAGGAGCCCATACTCCATTAGAGAGTTCGACCCATGTGTAATATCTACTCACCGGTCCATCTCAAGAGCTTGCAGAAATTCAGCACTCTTTGCCTGTCTGTAATCAAATGAGCACAAACACACAATAAATAACCACCCATAAACTACACAATAGTCATGGACTTAGCATGATTAAACTGACAGCAATAGCTAACAGAAAAGCAGGAAATTTCAAAAATGGTTCACATTGTGCCCTCACCGTTTGTTATCAAACAGGAGGTCAGAGATGCGGCCCATGATAACGCTCTCTGCCTGGCGTACTTTATCCAGCATTTTCAGCCTTACTGCATCCTGGGCCTTCTGCTGCTGAGACACACCTAACTCTAACCGTTCCTGCTCCTGAGAGACAGAAAAGCACAAAGAGGTGTATTTTTGTTAGCTAGATAGGTGTAGTGACTGAAAGAAATAAACAGTTTTATTCAGTAACAATTTTATTTCATTCAATGTTACATTAAATTGATCAAATGCATCAGTAAAGACATTTATAATGTTACAAAAAAAATTCTTTTTCAAATAGATGCTGTTTTTTTAAATTACTTTTTTCTTATTCATCAAATAATCCTTATGATTTCCCCCAAAAATGTAAGCAGTACAACAGTTTTCAACATTGATAATAATAATAAATATTACTTGAGCACTAAATCGGCATATTAGAATGATTTCTGAAGGATCATGTGACTCTGAAGACTTTCAGTGAGAATAGAAAATACTGTAGTTATTTTAAATTGAAATCATATTTTACAATATTAGTGTTTTATTGATTTTTAATCCAATAAATGCAGCCTTGGTGAGTACGGAAGTGTAGCTCGCTCAAATGTGTTACATTTATAAACCAGATAGTTTTGACTCTAAAGTCAAAATGGTTACCAATTTGACAGACATCAGGACGTCCTCTTTACGGGAGTTGTTGAGGAGGAGGAGCTGAGTGTGTTCTCTCTGTTTCTCTTCAAGATCTTTCTCAAAGGTCAACTTTTCCAGCTGTTTCTGCTCCTAGTGGAGAAACAAAAAGTGAGATGTAAATACTACTTCACTGGACGATCCAACAATAACAAAAAGAAACTAAACCAAACATACCTTTCTTTTCTCATAGTCCATGAATTTGCTCTGCAGTGTCAGAGTGGATGTAAGAGAACAGCAAGTCATTATTACATTAACAGAAAAAATGCCACAGCAACACTTTTTAGGCACTGTATGAAATGAGCGATAAATAGTGAAGACTGACCTGCCAGGCTATCTCCTCACCATCAACACAATCCACCTCCTGCTTCCCTCCATCATGCTCCAGCACAGGCAGAAGATACTGGGATGGAGGGCAATAATCCAGATCCATCTCTAAACCACATCAAAATGAATTATCAACAAACCAGATGCACAGAAAGACCTTGTTCTGTCACAACGGACTGCAGGTTAATATTCAATCTTGCGCATAATCTGTACTGTATACAATCTGTATTTATTGGTCTGCACTCTGCATCTAACCAAGCTATAATAAAAGATCTGTACCTGAGCAGAGGTAGCGCTGCACTTCCTCTGTGCCACCCGTGCACACTGACGCAGGTGGATAGCTCATAACCTGTGCGTCCAAGATCAAGCTCTGCACACCACATATAAACATACAGACATAACTATGTCTTTGCAGTGGTCACATTGCCTATAAGCTTGATATGATACTACACAAATATGCTCCAAAATCTTTATCTGAAGTGGGATAACCATTTAAGATACCTACTTCCAGAGTCCGAACACTGGCCAGTTCTTTGGGTAATTCTCTGATGCTGTTCTCACTTATGTCCAGTGTACGCAGGCTGCTCATGCGACCCACAGACACAGGAATCACAGTAAGGCAGTTCCCTGTTAGCATCGAAACATTTTGTTCATTTAAGTGGTTTAGGCTTTTATTACCATTTAGTTTGAATTCAAATGTGCCTAAAAAGCCCAAACTACACTCTTCAACAGAAACCTCAAATGAGTGTCAAGTTCTTACTAGCTTTTTGAAACAGGTTAACAACTGTCTGGAATCTACCACAGTGCTCTAATGAAGACATTTAAAACATTTACATTAATGAATACAATTTTTTTTCCAAAGATATGCAAAAAAGCACTAAACAAACCTTTCACATTAAGTGTCTGTAGATGTTGTAGATCCCCTACAGAGTCTGGCAGCTGTTTTATGTGGTTCTTCTCTACATTCAGAACCTTAAAGCAATAAATATAAATGACACTAATGATCAATAAAAAAAATTGTTTAAAAGAAAATTCATGCCCTAGAAGATACACTACCGTTCAAAAGTTTGGGGTTGGTTCAATTGTTTTAATGTTTATTAAAGAAGTCTCTTATGCTCACCAAGGCTGCATTTAATTGTTCAAAAATACAGTAAAAACTGTAATATTGTGAAAATTATTATTACAATTTAAAATAACTGTTTTCTATTTTAACACATTTTAATATGTAGTCCTGTGATAGCAAAGCTGAATTTTCAGCAGCTATTACTCCCTTCTTCAATGTCACATGATCCTTCAGAAATTAATCTAATATGCTGATTTGCCGCTCAAGAAACATTTCTGATTATTATCAATGTTGAGAACAGTTGTGCTGCTTTTTGTAGAAACTGTGATACATCCCCCCACCCAAAAATGCAGTAACCCCAATCTTTTGAAAATGAGTGTAGTCCATGATAGCAATATATATAGCTGTCATTATATAATACATTTTATGTGTGTATTGACCAATCAGCATCCAGAACAGTATTCTGTTTTCAAGTGTCATATAAGAAACAATTCACATCATCAGCTTTGTTCATATACAATAAATATACTGTACCTGCAAGGACAATAGCTGCCCGATGTCTTCAGGAAGTGATGTGAGCTTATTTTCATGCAGATCCAGCACCTTAATGGACACACAGAGATGTTGGCACTGGAGAGAAGTTCAAGGCGGTTATGTGCTCAATCAATGTCTCTCACCTTTAAGGTTGCTAAGGCACCAGTGCAGCAACCTTTAGGAACAAGTGACCTCAGGTCATTTCCATGAAGAATTAACACCTGCAATGAAAGTGGAAACTGCTGTCAAAAGTCTGTTTGCTTTGACCAACAACAGTTCAGAGAAAACAACCCTGCAGTAAACTGACTCACTTTCTTCTGGAGCACTTTACACATTGAGAAGACACTAGAGGGAACCTGCAAACATGCATTTAAAATATGTAAAAACTGTTGTGACACGGATGGAAGCAATCAGGTATCTTGCAATAACTCATCCTCTTTCTGTTTTTTGGATGAAAATTTCTCCAAAATGTGAATAATGAATGTCATTCATTAGGGTTTGTGTAATTCACCTCTGTAAGTTCACAGGCAGAAATGTCCAGAATATCATCAGCACCTGCTTCTTTAGACTGCACAAAACATAGGCATGCGTGTTAGGGTCTGAAACAGTGCATTATGACAGTAGGATGTTGCTAAAAAAAAAGAGGCACTGCTGATACATATAATCTCTAACATAAGCAAATGTGGGGTCGTTGCAATGTAAATACAACTAGAAACTTACCAAGCAAAGCTGGTACTCAAGGCGTTTCTTGGAATCCACACTGGGTTTCTTCTTTTTGGAGAACAGAAACATCCTGGGGCTAGCGAGATTTTGTTTGTCTAGTTAACTTAAAACCCCACAACATCCACAAAAGCCACTGGATGTTAGCGTGACACTTGACTGACAGACTGTGGTGTTGACAATCCCAAAGAAACAGATTGGGACAGCATAAACAAATTAAATTAGGACAAGAACGCAGAAATAAAAACGTGAAATTACAAATTATAATCACTCGAGATTAATAAGACTATACAATAACGTTACTTCGTTTTCATTATAAATTTATGGATCATGGATATTGAAACCAATCGAAATGAACGATATAAATAAAAGGATATAAGTTACCTTACGCGAAACGAAGAATATATGCCGTCAGTGCGATTGCTAAATTCTTTTGTCAAAACATGGGCTCCTTCAAATGTTTCAATATCGATTTATTGTCCCTTGTTGCCTTGTATACGGAGGTACACACACCAGGAACAACTTCTCGGATGTTGTGAATGACGTAATGCGTCGCCGCAGTGTGAAAGGTTGCTCAGCTCTCGCGATACTTCGTGGCCTTTATATTCGTGGCCCAACGCTTCATCTGTCCTTTCCTTTTTCACTTTGGTGGTGAAGGTGCAACAATTTTCGGTCGTCCCGAATTCGGGTTCATCCGACACCCTCACTAATTCAAATTGAACTGAGCTCAACTTCATCTGGTACACAATGCCTCCTAAATTCGACCCCACCGAGATTAAAGTCGGTATGTCTGGAATACGGTAACCCTTTGACTGATTTCTGATTGTGTGTGAGCGGCCATGCCTGCGCGTAGGCCTCTCGCGTGCTGGTGCTAATAAATTAGTAGGGTGCAAATTGAAAGCTTTTCCTGTCCATATATAGTTTAGTTGAAGCTTTTAAAATAAATATTTGGATGTACAACATGTAATTCAACTGAGAGGCGTGAATTTTAAATGCTAGAATGCATAGCGTTTTTAGGAATACTCGCTGTAACTTTAGTTAACGTTACCTACTCCGTGCACGCGGAGTTTTGAACGATTCGATTTGACATTTTGAAATGTGTAAAACATTTGCGTGCTGTGGTTTGACCGCTCTCTGGGATATTAAGATTCACGGGTAACGTTAAGTGTTCACGTGCTGCTGAACATCACGAAGCTGTAGCAGCTAACATTCTTCTCGGCATAACATATTTGGTTCAATTTGGACACTTGAGTTTAACTTTACTTTTCTTCTTTTAAACAGAATAATGGTCTGTAGTGTTTCTTTTCCTGCTCTTTATATCATAAAGCAGCCTCCCGCCACTGTGCTAGTCTGTTAAAGGGATAGTTCGGCCAAAAATGATATTTAAACCATGCATTACTCACCCTCAAGCCGTTCGAGATGCATATGTCAATCTTGTTTCAGACGAACACATTTTCAGTTATTTTAGAAAATGTCTTAGACCCTTCAGTGGATATAATGTGAAGCAATGGGGTCCACCTCCTTCAAGTCCCAAAATGTGCATATATCCTTCACAGAAGTCATCCATCCGGCTCCAGGGGGATAAACGAAGGCCTTATGAGGGTAATCCGTGCGGTTTTGTCGTAAAAATATACATATTTAAAACTTTATAAATGAAAATTTCTGACTTCCGGCAACGATCGATGCACGTTCACGGGTGATGTTTTGCTCTGCTCTCTGGCTGCGCGGGCGCGTTCGTTCTACGTCACGACGCTACGTCCTCCCTCGTACGCCGACTTCCATCACCCGTGGACGCGCGTCGATCGTTGCCGGAAGTCAGATATTTTCATTTATAAAGTTTTAAATATGTATATTTTTACGACAAAACCGCACGGATTACCCTCATAAGGCCTTCGTTTATCCCCCTGGAGCCGGTTGGATTACTTTTGTGAAGGATATATGCACATTTTGGGACTTGAAGGAGGTGGACCCCATTGCTTCACATTATATCCACTGAAGGGTCTAAGACATTTTCTAAAATAACTGAAAATGTGTTCGTCTGAAACAAGATTGACATATGCATCTCGAACGGCTTGAGGGTGAGTAATGCATGGTTTAAATATCATTTTTGGCCGAACTATCCCTTTAAAGTGTCTTTGTACAATCCAGTGGAGGCTTATAGTGACCCAGCTCTAGGAAGCAGGGTGGCCCCAATCTAATGGGCAACTCTGTGCCGAAAGACCTGAAACAAACTGCTAGTCAAATTTTAATATATATATATATATATATATATATATGCGCTAAAATTTGACTAGGTAATTGAGGTCAAATTATAGCATTTGCAAATGTGTTTTTACCCATCAAGATTATGTAAACGTATGCACTAATTAGGGAAGGATAAAACATTTGAAAGTTTACAACTATTTAACTTATGGGTCTGGTAAAGCAGAATGACAATGCATACCTCAGGGTTATGAGGGTCTTGACATTTTTGGTTATCTTTGTGATGTCTGATGGAACTAACGGGCGTCTTTCCTATGTAAGCGTACAATGGTGTTAATATAAGCCATGATGAATCTTATTTTCTTCAGTTATTTATCTGAAGCATATTTTATTAGATTGTGTTGGGTTTAACCCCATGATAAACATTTTATTCCAATAATCCTTCTGAAGGTATTTCATCCAAGTTAAACCAAATGTAGTTTTAGTGTATGTAAAGAGAAAGAAAAGTAGTTCTTTTCTAGAAGTTAGCATGCTTAAATACCCCGCCACAATTAATGATGCACAATTCTAATCAAGTTAACTTTTTTTTTTACAGCTTATATAAATATAGGGCACACGGATTTCTGAGAATTGTTGAATAAAAGTACACTAAGGCTTTGTCTCCCCCCCCCCCCCCTCCCCCCCCCCCCCCCCTCCCTCCAGTGTACATGAGATGCACAGGTGGAGAAGTTGGTGCCACTTCCTCGCTGGCCCCCAAAATCGGACCTTTGGGTCTTGTAAGTATTGCCACAAGTTTGGTCTGTAGTGTTTCTTGTCCTGCTCTTTATATCATAAAGCAGCCTCCCGCCACTGTGCTAGTCTATTCAAGTGTCTTTGTACAATCCAGTGGAGGCTCATAGTGACCCAGCTCTAGGAAACAGGGTGGCCCCAATCTAATGGGCAACTCTGTGCCGAAAGACTTGGAACAAACTGCTTGTGTCACAGAACATTGACTCTGTTCCATGCTGTATGCTCATCTTTCATTCTTGCTTTCCTTCAGTCCCCTAAAAAGGTGGGTGATGACATTGCAAAGGCCACCGGTGACTGGAAGGGCCTGCGAATCACTGTGAAGCTGACCATCCAGAACAGGCAAGCAGCGGTAAGCCCTTGGAAGTCTGTATTCTGGCTCTTGAGGTCATCTGGCCTTTAGACACTTACAGGTTTTGTTGTTGCTCCAGATTGAGGTGGTGCCATCAGCCTCTGCCCTCATCATCAAGGCCCTGAAGGAACCTCCCCGTGACAGGAAGAAGGTCAAGAACAGTAAGTAGCTTTTACACCACCTCAATACACTGTTGTAGGAATCGTGTCTTTGTGTGTTCTGACCTTTTGTGGTTATTTCGAGCCTCCCGCCACTGTGCAAGTCTGTAAACGTGACTGTGTACTGTCCAGTGGAGGCTCATAGTGACCCAGCTCTAGGAAGCAGGGCTGCTCAACTCTATGGGTGACTCTGTGCCGAAAGGCCTGGAACAAGTTTTGTTGCATTTCTTGATCAAAAGTCACAGTAAAAATATTTGTTTTGCTTTTCTAAAAAGAACTGCACTTATGAACTAAATATCCTAAAAAAAAAAGTTATACAGCACAACTATTTTAAGTCTGGAGAAATGATACTGCAAATTCAGCTTTGCCATTTAATAAGTTACATTTTAAAGTAAATTAAAATTGGACAGTAAAATTTTACTACTGTGTTTTTGGTCAAATGCATTTGTTAGCATAAGACTTGTGCATTAAACATTAACCCCTGGTTTAACAGACAAAGGTGAAGTCTTGTCCCAGACTACAATGCATGTTTTAAAGGTGCACTGTGTAATATTTAGGAGGATCTGTTGACAAATGCAATATCATATACACACCTATGTTTTCAGTGGTGTAAAAAAAACATTGCATAATGAACCATTGTTTTTATTATCATAGAATGAGCCATTTCTATGTACATACACCAAGTCCCCTTACATTTGAAAGTCTTTTTGTGCTGACATGTTTCTACAGTAGCCTTAAACTACTACAGAGCGCGTTTTCGTCACTGTTGTTCTTCATGCAAAGAAACTAGCTAAATTCAGCGAATAAAATACTGACACAATGATAAACGAGTAACAATAATATTCGTAATAACATTGTTTTACTGAATTAAGTAAACATAATTTCATAATGGATCTTTGTAAAGAAACCTCATTGCTTAACTGGCTACTCTGCTGTCTCAATGACATCTTTTCCTGTCGGCCACCGTAACTTCTGTTGGTTGCAATTCGCAACCTCACCACAAGATGAGACTAAAAATTACACCACCTTTTACTGAAAGCAACTTACACTGGAATATCTTCAAATATGTCAGTGCCTTTTTTTTTTTGTCTCAAGATGCACATCAGTAATGTTTTCTAAGGCATGTTTAAAAAAAGCTACTAAAAGGGGTACTTCACCTCTGGAAAGATGAATGTGTATTTAAAATGGGTCATTTATGTAGAAGAAATGTGAAATTATTTTTGAATTTGGAGCTTTCTAGACTGAGAAAAGCCAGAAAATGTATTTTTGGCTTATGTGGATGAGGAGACAACTCCCAGAATGCACTTGCTTCACTGCCCTAGGAGGCCACGCCTACTGGTAACAGAGCGCAGTAGTTAAACAACAAGTCTAGGCTACTAGTGAGTCTCCGTGATAAGTCTGCGCAGGATTTCGAGATTGTCCAGGATTTGGCTTTTGCGTTCTACTGTCGCCATTCATTGTTTACTATGGCGAGCAGGACGAGACTGAGGGCCGCGGGAGAACAGCGCGAGGCTGGTGGCGTGATTACTGATAAGCGACATCTGTGAGACGCACCGGTCTCGTATCTCTCACGGAGGAGCGGGAATTTTCTTAGCAATGTTAAAACGCACATCAACCGATCAGTTGTTTAGCGTTCATGTAAACCCTACATTCAGATTCACCAATCGGAATGAATTCAGTTAGATTGAAACAAAGTGTGCATGTTAACAATGAATGGCGACTGCAGAAAGCAAAAGCTGAATCCCGGACATGTCCGGGAAAAAGAGGATGGTGAGATCCCACCCTCTATGGGCGGGTTGAGAACATGCGGGACAGCCCCTACTACTGGCTGTAGTCTTTAGCCTCTGGCCAAAAAATCCTCAGATGACGCAAAATGGCTTTTTTTTTTTGCGTCATCTGAGAATTTTTTCCAGACAAAAAATACATATATCGTCTCAGGTAGGCCGTGAGACAAAGGGTTGATTGGTACCATTTTGAGGGATTAAACTGCATGGTGATTTT